GAACAGAGAAAAAGAGAAGGAGCAGGTCCTCTTAGCATGGGGCTGCCTAGAGAAGAGCCCCAGAGAGGAAGAGGGACCCCACGTTCATGGGAAGAGCCACCCTCGGGTGCTTCAGCACACGTGCACAAAGCCACTGGAGTTCTCAGCAGTATCAGCTCGAACAGGGGAGACTTCTAGGAAACAGAATTCTGCCTCATTTTTCTTCAGAGGAAGTACTGCCCCAAGTCAGCCATGGTACTGAAAGCAGGGGGTGTTCATGTCACCTCGGCTGCCGTGTGCACTCAGGTCTCAGCTCCTCAGCAGGGCTCACCCTGGCCGTGGTTCGCAGATGCAGAACTGGAACCAAGAAGTCATTTTCTGAGTTCCTTGGCAAATCAGCAATGGCTTCTGCGGCTCCACTCTGTGTGAACGGGGAGCCAAGGGGAGCACGCAGCGCCCTGTAACCTGGGACCCATGGGCTTTGTTGCTGGCCCTGGCCCTGTGGAAGGTTCCAGGCTGGCTGGCTGTGGCTGTGGTTTTGGGAACCGTGTTGTGTGGGTTAGTAAGGCATCAGATTGGAAGCCAGGCCTCCTCCCCCCCCCCGGACTAGGAGTTCAGTCTCCGAGGGACTGCCAAGTCTCCAGGGACTGGAATCCATGCTTGGGGACTGCAGTCGGATGGGTGTGGTGTTAAGGAGAAGGCCGCTGTCTCCGAGGTGAAGGTTTGATTTTCGAGAGCAGCACAGCATGGCTTTAGACTTGAGGCCTTTGATAATCTGCAAGCTCTCGTTACATGATCAGTTTTGTATCCTAGAGTAGCACGTTTACTAAGTAAACTGTGGAGAAGTCGTTTTTGTTGGTTTGTTTTATTTTGTGTGCTATCCAAGTAATACCCGGACATATTGTAGACGATCGTTTGGCCTCAAAGGCCTATAAGAGCACCAGCACCCAGCGGCTCCCGGGTCCTTCCCTCTCCTGGACGTCCACTCCATGTCCAACTCCTCCCTGTGCTGTTTAGATGTCGTCCGTAACCTCAGGAGACAGTTTTTGCTCGTGTGTTCCTCTTATCCTCTCAACATAGTTTGCCAGAATCTTTCTGGTTAATATCTGATTTGAGGTCTTCATTATTACAACCCTGTAACCATTGATCACTGCTAAGTAATACTCTAGAACTACCTTTCTTTTATAATTCCCTGTTTTTCTTGGAGTAGGGTCTGCCACATCTTGTCTCGGCTTCCGCAGCTTCTTTTCCTGGAGCCATCTCTTCTGCAGCTCTCTGACTTACTCTGTGTATGTTGAAATTTGTTCTCCTTCAGGAAGCTTTTAGAATTGTCTCTCATCAGTGTTGTTCTGAAGGTGTGCTTTGAGATGAGTCTTTTTTCATTACCTAAACTGGGTCCTGGCTAAATCCTTTCAATTTGGAGATTTTTGTTCTGATTTGATTATGGTTTTCATATATCATTTCTTATATTATTTTCTGACCACTACTTTTATGCTTCTCTCTAGAATACCTATTATCTGGATGTTGTATTTCCTAAACATCCCCTGATTTTGTATCTCCTCTCTCCTGCTTTCCAATACTTATCTTTTGTGTTCTTTCTGAAATATTTCCCTGAATTTCTTTCACTTTAGCATACACACACACACACACACACACACAGTCAGTGCGGGGAACTGAAACTAGGGCCTAGTGTGAACTGAACCCCGCCAGATTGGAAGTTTAATCTCTGTGCCTCTCTTAGGCTACAAGGATCCCTCTTTTTTTTCTTTTTTTTTTTTGGTAGCATTCTTTCTTGTGTCAGAGATGCAGTGTTTTTTAAATCCTGTTTCTTAGGGGAGGAGGGATTAGGAAATAATAAAGCCGGCGGTTGGTGTCTGCACATGGCCAGGGCTCCTCTGCTCTTGGCGCTGCCCACCCTAGGCTGGTCTCTCTCTCTGTGTCTGCAGAGCTCAGTGTCCTCTCTCCCCACAGGGTGCGGGAGGGTGTCCTGTGACCACACCCGTGGTGACCTAGGGCAGAGGGAAGGGTTCTTCCTGCTCCTCTGGAATTGTTTGCCTTGCATTTCTGCGCTGAGCAGGTGGTCGCCCGCTCCCTGTCCGGGTGCTCTCTGGGAGCCTCCCTCCCGCGCGGATGCGTCCTGTTCTCTTGTCTCCTTCTCCTCTCCATCTTCACATTGGGCTCATCTTGCTTCCTGGCATTCGTGCTGCTGTTCCTTGCTCTCTTGTCCTTGGGGGGGTCTGGAGAAGGCAAGGGATGTGAAAGGCCTTTATCCTATCATCCTGAAGCCAGCCAACTCTACGGTTGTGTTTTCTTCATTCAGGCCCTAACGATGGCAGTATTTTTGACAGAACTAAGATCCCAGATGGAGGGATATTCTCACAATGAGCTTATCAGGCAAATGGATTAGACAGCTGTCTAATGACCACAAGAAGGCTGCCTGTAGTCCCCACTTGCAGTCATCTCAGCACTATCGCTCTCCATTTAACTAGTACACAACATTTTGAAGAATAATAGAGTGTTTGAGTTGGAAATAGTTCATCAAGTTCAAGTCCAGTGCCTTATTTCACAAATTCATCAACTGGAGCTGATGGTTGACATGGGCTTCACAGCAGCCCCAGGCCCTCTGGGACCTCCAGATCCCAGGCTGTTCTGTGCATACTGTAGCCTCCACTGGGTTAAGTATTTCTTCCTCAAAACATTGCTAATGCAATTACTCCTAGGAGAAACAACACAGGAAACTATTAATTAGTATTAATTCATTTATGAGATTCAATTAAGTCATCGTGGCATTTGGCTGCTGACGGCTGAGCAGCTTGCAGAGCTTGTAAGAGGAATCGGGAGGGGAGAGGAGAAAAGGCTGTCTCAGGGCCACGCCGCCCTGCACTTCCCACGCTCCCTTTTCCTGGCCTTACCCAGGCCAAGGGATCCCCGTCCACGCCTGGCCCATCCTCTGCGGGCTGAGCTACAATTTTAGGAGTTTTCTCATTTCTGTGCTAGGATTGCAAACCTCTCTGAAGGTGTTCTTCACATGAAGCCGTTCCTGCCTAAAACACCCACGAGCCCACGGGCTCGGTTGACTTCGGGCAATAAGACCACAGGGAATGCAGAGGGAGGGAGAGAATGTCCCCTGAGCTCCTGGCCCCGTGGGAAGGAACGCTGGCATTGGATCAGAGTGGCTTCTGCAGCAGCCTGCTCAAGTAGCCATGAGTGTCCCCGAGCAGCCCCAGAGGGGAGCCCTGCGTGGCCAGCAGTCGGGCTACTCCACCACATCCACACTGCCCGCAGCCAGTGGCAGCCTTGCTCTGGACGGGAGCCGGGTCAGTGGCCCTGCAGGGAGAAGGCATGGAGGGCTGAGTTGTCGACTTCCAGTCGTGGCTGTATGAGGATGAGCAGGACGGTCACAGTCTTCTGTCTTAATTCAGCATCTGGGTTGGGGACACTGTCTACAATTGTCCAGTCAGGAAACTCTCATTATAAAAACTTCTACTTTCAAACAGTAGGTGACAATCTCGTTAGTTCTGGACCTTTGTAAAACACGAGGCTTAGCTGTCCAGCCGTGTGTGGCCTGTTAAGGAAAGAGCTTGACCTGAGGGTACTCTGCATCATCTCTGAATGCATTTTGTCCAATAAAGTCGATGCCTGTGGATTCTGCTGGAGAGACACGAGGCGGGAGTGAGGCTCGAGAGCCCCAGACTTCGACTTCACATGATGATAGTGACAGAAAACCAGGTCCCTCTAAAAGCTGTAAAGGCTAAAATACAGACATCTTCAATAGTAACTAGTATGTTTAAATGGCCAATAAGATCTCTCTTCAGTGAGCAGCTTTTTGTTTGATTGAATTCATTTTGTCTCTGTTCTTATTTAACTGTAGACTGAGTTCACATAACTCTTAATTTGTCTCTCATCATACTGAAATAATGAATATTAGTTTTAGTAAGCATTGTGAAATTCATTCATTTTAGAAAATAGGCTTAATTAGTAATCAATTTTCAGTGGTTAATTTTAAGATTTAGCCCACATTTGCCCCCCCTAGGTTATCCTGACAAAAGTCAACTTTACATGAGATCAAAATCAAGAGATAGAGAAGTCATCAAATACTTCCATGATATAATTAGGAATTGAGTCTGATTAACAGAAATGTGTACTTGGATATTTGATTGAAAGAAGATTGGTTATTTGTTATTGCTTTTATCAATGTGTCCGTGACATTTGTTTTCATAGAAGAATGCCCCGATTCCACCCCTCCCCATGTGACTGAGGAGAAGGCCCTGCTCCTCGGCACCCAGCCTGTGGGCTGCCTGCAGGTGCCAGCCCTCTGAGAGACATCCCTCTGACCCTTGCTCAGGCCAGGCGTGCAGGGATGAAAGAGCCCATCGCTGCTCTTAAGGACCCTGCGGAACCACTGGGGGACGGCGTGAAAGGAAACATAAAGCAGTGCATGGTGGAGTGATGGGGTGAGAGCGCAGTGCAGACCCGGAGGCGCGAATGCCCACGTCGGGAGGCACTGCTTCAGTGCTTCCTGGGCACACGCTGAGGCAGCGTCCCCTGGAGCCAGGCAGGCTGGGCAAGGGGCCGCGCTGCTGCCCCCGGGGACTGAGAACAGGGACACGCCTTCCCTGTCTGGTGTTCCTAGCTGAGGAGTCTGCAAGGCCTCCGTGCCTCCTGGAAGGACGCAGGGCAGGTGGAGGAGATGGGGACCCGAGGTCCCTCGTCCCTGTGGAGACCCAGCTATCTCCCTGCGCTCGGGACCGGAGGAGCCCTGCATTTTGTTTTTCGTGGCATGGAACTGTGGAAACCAAGGCCCTGCTTTCCTCTTTCTTAGGTGGATGCTTCTCTTGCAGCCTGGTGTGCTGTGGTGGGGTGCGGCCCTGGGCCTCCAACCTGCCAGCTGCGTGGACACTGCCCCCCACCTTCCACACTGGGCCCCACTGCTGACGTCCAGGGTGCCCCCATCCTCTTCACAAATACATATGTTTAGAGATTTTCAAAGTGTGTGGTTCTGATGACCTCAGCTGCCCTCTCCTCCTTCCTGCCCCACACTAGGCACCTGGGCAGATGCCCTCTCCTCCTTTCTGCCCACACTAGGCACCTGGGCAGCTGCGACGGCCGACAGGTGGTGCTTGCGGGGGCCTAAGAGGGTCTCATCTGTCAGCACATCTCTGCAGGCTTCCTGGTTCTCCCCTCCCCTCGCGGCTTCCATCACCACCACCTCCAGGGCCGTGACCCCCATGCTGGCCGTCCCCGACGGTCCTCTGTGGGCTCTTCTTGCTGTTCACCAGACCATCGACTGGCTCCAGGCCACTTGGCAGGGTCCACTTCCTTGGTGTGGCGAGCTGACCTCTCACAAACTTTCCAGTGTCACTCTCTTCTCTTTGGCCACATTAATGTGGTTACTTGGCCTGGCACATGGCTCCAGTAGTGGCTCGTTCTTTACCTCATTTCGGTAATAAGTTTGAGGCCATTTCTTTCTTTTTTTTTTTTTTTTGAGTTAATCTTTTTGTTTTTAGTTGTAAATGGACAGGATACCTTTATTTCTTTCATTTATTTTTTAAAAATATTTTTTTAGTTGTGAATGGACCTTTATTTTATTTATTTATACATGGTGCTGAGATGAGAATCGAACCCAGTGCCTCACATACGCTAGGCGAGTGCTCTACCACTGAGCCACAACCCCACCCTGATTTATTTATGTATTTATGTTTGAGTACCGGGGATTGAACTCGGGGCACTCCACCCCTGAGCCACATTCCCAGCCCCTTTTTGTATTTTATTTAGATACAAGGCCTCACTGAGTTGCTCAGGGCCCCACTTTTGCTGAGGGTGGCTTTGAACTCCCGATCCTCCTGCCTCAATCTCCTGAGCCCCTGGGATGACAGGTGTGTGTCACCACACCCAGCTTAAGGCCATTTCTTTAATGATGCTCACTCATTGCCAGGTGCCCAGGGTCTGGGGATTCATTCCAGAGAGCCATCATAGAAGCTCTTCTCTGTGGAATCTCAATGTCCCAACACCTGCGCTTATCACATACTTTAATAGTAGTAAGATTCTGATTTTCAACCTGTTCGTTTTTCACATTACAGCAAGGGAGGAATAGCTGGGAGGACCTCCTCGCTGAGGCACTTGACCTGCCCTCAGACCTTCTGGAAGTTCCTGAGTACCCTGATCAGGTCTTTTTGTCTCCAGGTTCGTATCCATCAACAAGTATCTTGAACATCCTGTGCTGTGTTAGGCACTATGGTGACGACACAAGAGGTGAACCCAGGCTAAGTGCATGGAGCACTTATCCCAATCAACCTTGGGGACATGAATGTCACAGGACACCATAATCAAGGAAACACAAATCAAGGAGACAAAATTAAGTATCCAGATTGATGAGCAGACTAGCAGCGTCACACAGCAAGCTCAGGTCGGTGCTCAGCAATGGTTTCAAAAAAGATCCAAGACTCCACCTTCCCAAATCAGGAGGGCCTCACCCCGGGTGGGCTTTGCCCCAGGCAGCTGTTTCCACAAGCCTCACGTAAGCTGGACCACCACAGTGAGAAGGGTTTGGAAGGACAAAAGGGCAGAAGGACATGTGCTCAGGGATGGAGACAGGAGGAGTAGTGGGCAGGCAGGAGAGCGCTCACTACAGCCTCTGTCCCCAGCCTCCACCGCTGACCAGGAGAGAGGAGATTAACCAAAGCGCCAATCTGTGGTTTCAATTAGTTTTTAAATGTTTGTTTTGTTTTATTTGCTTACTACATAGACACTCAACAAGTGAATTAGCAATCAATAATTAAGCAATTAAGCTAATTAAGCAATCAAGCAGTGATCTGAGCTGACAGGAAGGGAGGCCTGGCCTACATGATTAGAGGGATTGGGTCAGCCAGGGCAGGGCCTTCCTGCACCTGAGCCTGTGCCTGAGGGGCTTTTGCCTGCTTATCCCCCTCCCCGTCGTCTCCAAGGGAGGTGAGTGTCCCTGTGGTCTGACTGTATCCATTCCTGGAAAGATGCTGGAAGGCTGGCCTCATTTATCTTAGCTGGATGCCCTAAAGTAAATATTATTTTAAAGAAATACTCTCAACTGATAGAATTACTCAGGCTCCCAGAAATCCACTCTTCCCCTGCTCTTCAGTGGTCACGGGGCTTGGGGATCATGTGTCCCAGAGTGGAAAGTTGGGGTCCTCTCTCACTCTGCTGTCTGGGCCATGTTCCTCCTCTCTCGGGTGCTTCTTGTCAGCAGAAGGGGCTTGATGTTATAGACTTGCCTCTGCTGGGTACTTGATCCCAGGTGGCTCCTGGCTTCAGAGCCCGGTGTCTGCACAGGACCCTGCCTGGCTCACAGCACCACAGGCAGGCCCAGCCCTGGCAGGCGCCTGGCTCTCCTCACAGGCTTAAACCACGTGGGGTGTGGGCTCGAGGAAGGTTTGCCCACGCCATGCCCTGCTCCACCAGACTGCACCGTCCTGTCTCCAGACAAGATAGGCCTGGCCAGAGCCCTGCCCTCAGAGCTTCCTTCCTCACTGAACCTGCGCCTCGTCTCTGGCCCCTTCTGTCCCTTCTGTCCCCTCCTGGGACAGCAGCACCACAGCTTTGCTGTTGGGGTGGCAGAGCTGTCCTGTCTGCATGGGAGACTGCAGTCGAGCTCCTTCCAGAAGAATTAGGGTAATAAAGGAACTGAGCGACTTATTCTGCAAGACAATCTCCCTTTTCTCAAATTCTGTTTGCAAATTTGCTTTTTCTTGCAAAACCTCAGAACACGACTGTGATCTTTCCCTTTGTACCCCTCCTCTACCGTTGTTCATCTTGCCCACTTTCCCTTCAGCAACCACCCAAGCCTAGCCTGCACCCCACCCAGGCGAAGACCTTATACCTGGAAAGGCAAAAGAGTAACAACCTTAACATCTATCTTAAAATATGCTTGGTAGAGGAACACCCTCTGTGGCTCAGGAGCAAGCAGGGTGATGTGTGTGCAGGACAGTGAAGGAGGAGTCTGGGAACAGGAAAGAGGCTGGCCAGGCAGGGAGGGGAATGTGCAGAGCCACTGGGGCTGCTGACTGCTTCTAAAGGGAAGTAGGTCAGGGCAGAATCGGGGATGAGAAGAGCAGGTGCTGGGGTGGCTGGGCCGTAGGAAGAGGAGAATCAGGAAATGCACGGAGTCAGAGACTCCAGGTGAATCCCAGGCTGCATGTGCGTCCCTGTGACCTTGGGCAGTTTCCCTTGCGCTGGGCTTTCTCATTGTGAAGCAGAGGAAATGACCCCTGCTCTATAGCTTTGTGTGGGACTTGACTGGGCAGTGCCTTGCCTGAGGATGCTTCACCAACACTAGGTCCTCCTGCTGGGAAGCTGACCGGCTAGTCCAGCAGCAGTGTGGGAGATGGTGTCGCTATGGGAATGGTGAGGACGGCCCAGCACCAGTGGCATTCCCAAGGAGAGTGGATGACCTTGAACTTGCAAACCTGAGTGACTGACTCGTGATAGGCATGCTGGAGGGGAGCTGGGTGAAGGTAGATGGTTGGGGTATTTTAGAGGGGTCAGGCAGAGCGCTGTGCTTGTGGGCCCTGAATTCAGGTGGGGAGGCTGGGAACTTAACCAGGCACACATGTATTGAGTACCTGCTCTCTAAGGGACACTTCGATGGACCCTGTGAATAGGGAAAAATAAAATATGACTTTACTCTCTAGGAATGTATGCAATTGTGGTACAAATGAGGGGGACACTAAATAATACCATCTTTAAAAAAATTAAGTAATGTAAATAGGTTTAAAATACATGGAGTATAAGATAATTGGTTTAAAATTTATATAAGAAATTATTGAAGCGGAGAAAGACTATCAGAAATCTGGGATGAGATAATGATGATATTTGAGGAATTTTAGACCTAAGAGAAACTCCTGAGCCTCCTGGAGGGAAAGTTATTCAGTTTCATCGTTAGATTAAAGGACAGAAGCCACATGAAGAGAAGCTGCTTACACTAAATTCAATTGGTTGATGGTGGCACAGTGACTGCTTATGTGGGAAAGGCCCCTCAGCGCCATGATCACACTTTCTGAGAAGAGGCAGTAAGCTCTGTTTTCCTTGCAGTCACAGGAATTGAACTCAGGGGCTTCACCACTGAGCCGCCTCCCCCAGCCTTTTCTATTTTTAATGTTGAGTCAGGGTCTCTCTCAGTTGCAGAAACTGGCCTTGATCTTGCAATCCACCTGCCTCAGCCTCCCGAGTCACTGGGATTACAGAAGTGTGCCACCCCACCTGGCAGCAGGAACCTTTTAAAAAACACTGTTCTTTGATCAAAGTGAGGGCGTGACATAAATTGGTCACTGGTGAACACTTTTCTGTAGGCTGCGTATTTGCTGTGGTAAGTAACCTCCTGGGGATCAATTTTAAACAGTAACAAGGCATAAAGGGAGTAAATGCATGTAAGGTCATGTCCCCGGCCTGTGCTGCTCAAAGGCGTCATTTCTATTTCACTTTGTTCAGGGACAGGGTGGCCAGTGCTTAACAGCCTCATGTCACCACCATTAAGTGAATACTGGAAGTTCCCAAATTTCAGCATGCATAGAAATTGCAAAGGATGCTCCCTTAAAATATGTATTCCGGGGCCCCACCTGAGAGATTCTGATTAGTCTATCTGAGATGAGACCCAGGAATCTGCATTGGGACAGGCACTTTGAGTGATCCTCGGGTTTCTCTGGGAAACACTCCCAGAGGCCAGGTGATTTGATGGCAAAGTTGTGAAAACTGAAGGTTTATCACCTGTATTTTCCCTCTGATAGTGTGGGACAGAGAGTCCCCAGTGAGACACCAAAATACTTCTCAGAAAGAACTTCTCATCTGCTTAACTGTTTGGCAAAAAGCATGAAAAATAAAACTTTTTTTGCCTTAAAATGTGTGGCCAGTGCAGTCATCTCTGCTGCCAAAATAAAGCACCACAGACAGGTTGCTGAACCAGACTTGTCCTCTTCACAGCGCTGGAGCCTGGACGTCTGAGAGCAGGGTGCTGGCCTGGTCAGGTTCTGGTGAGGGCTCTTTTCTGATGTGCAGATGACGGCCTTCTCCATGTGTCCTCGTGGGGGGCCTGGTGGAGCACCCTCTCCCTGACTCTCCTCACTGGGCGCCGGCCCCACCGTGAGAGCCTCACCTGTGACCTCAGCCAGGCAGATACGCCCACAAAGGCCCTGTTCCCAGTACGATCTCATCAGGGTTCAGCGCTGGCCTTCTGGAGGGACGCAGTTCAGGGCATCGCAGTCAGAGTGCCAGTCATCCCCGTCGGCCCTGGGAAGGGAGCTGGTCCGTGGTCCTGAGGAGCCTCTGACTCGAGGCTGGGCCTTCCAGGGCTGTTACCAGGAGAAGTCCCGCGGAAGGTCCTCTCACCGTGCTGGAGGAGTGAGCCACAGCATGGGCCTGAAGGTGGACATTCCTGGGAAAGCCATTTGGGTGCCAACATTGCTGGAGTGCAGCGTCCTCCCCAGCACCCCTTTTCTTTCTTATTTCTCCTGCTAAAAGAGCTGAGGGCAACCGTGGTTGTTCAGTCCAGAGTAATGAAGCCTAAGTTGGTTCTGTCAGCAACGTGGAGAGAGCAGGGGCAGGGGAGATGGACTTCCTGAGGGGTGGGGGGAGGGACCTCCTACTGCAGATTCTCCAGGAGGCAGCTCTTTCATTGTGAAATCACAGTATGACTCGCTCTGATTGAGAACTCTGGCTTCACACTTAACTCAGTGTTAGAATCTTTAAAAAACAGAATAAAAATGACTCATGTGACTCGGGTTGTGTAGTACTAAGGTCACACATTTCAGTTCAAATATACAATGTGCACGTTCTAAGATAAGAATAAATGGCAAGAAAAAAAGTTAAAATACTAAGAAATGTCACACACAATGTGAGGTCTACAGGTAATGGAATGGCTCTGCCTGGGAGACAAGTCCTGCTCTCAGACACACCCCCAAGGTCAACCATGTGAGATGGTGGATAGGCTAGCTTGCTTCCCCCTGGTACCTGCATGCTGTGTATATCCATCTTCTATACCTTAAATATACACAATGAAAGTTTTATTTCAAAAAATTTTAAGTACTAAGAAATGCTAAAAAAAAATATGAAACAGTCTTTTCCAAGTGTTCTCAGATCAGTCTCTTAGAGAAGTTGTGAGGTTTTATGGGTGAGTTTTCTTTGTAGACAGCAGTCATTAAACTAGAAAGCCATTCCATTAGACTTTGACTCTTTAGTATGAGTTTTTTTTTACCCACAAAAAATGACCCATCTGAGTATAGATTGGAATTCTGCAGTTCTGTATCCTCCATATATGTATTCTCCCTATTGGCTTATTCTGATACTCATAGTTAATACTAATGTATTATCAATGGCAAGTACTAAATTAGTCTTTTATACAACATGAAAATCCTAGCCATTCAGCTATTCAGTTCATAGCTGAATAGTAAAACTATTAACCCAACAAAGTCAGTACCATTCATGGTAATAAAACATACTTATTTTAATAATATTTAAAAGTTTTGTTTAAAACTCCTCTCATAGAGTTTGATGATGAAACAAAGTTTTCTGTATGGTTCAGTGAAGGCCATTTCCAGTTCTTGCCTGCTTGGAAATCTTCATTATGTCAACATATACCAGCCTGGAGCCCCACTAGTCTCCCAGTTCCACCCACCATGCACCCCGTTTCATACCATTCTCGCCCATCACACATGTCCATACTCTGCTGTAACAGCCAACATATACCTAGCTGCAAAAAGACTGTAATGTAATGCCAGCACATAAGTGCCTGTATTTAAAACATTTCTGTCCATCAAAGGATTTAAAGAAAAGTTTCAAAAGAATTTAATACAAATATTTTAATACAAATATTCAAGCTACAATTAAAACTATTAAAAAAATACAAGAGGGTTTAAGTGAAAGATGGAAGTTCCCCATCCACTAGGGCTCCCTGTTCACTGCCCATGGCCCCATGGCCCCATTGGGTTCAAAGCTTCTTGTGCCGCTTTCTAGAGTGTGCCATAAATACACGTGTATGTATATGTGTGTGTGTGCACATGTATAGATGTGAACTTATAAGTGAGTGTACATATTTAATTCTAAGAGCTGTGGACAGTGAGGACAGTGCCACTCAGCACTCTCTGTCCTGGGATAGGTTCACAAGCCTCCCTGGGGTCCTCTCTGGTGTCATCTGGAGCCCAGGTTGGCCTTGGTCTCCATTTGGAAACCTTCCACAGAGTGGAGAGCTGCTGGGGACTGGTAACAGTCTCTGGTCTACCTGCTGGGGAGGCTCCCCAGCCTAGATGTCCTCCTCCAGACTCCCAGGGAGGCCAGTGGCCTCCCAGGGACTTCTCAGCCCTGACTCTATAAATATGATTTTTCTCAATGGTAGGAGGTATTTCTGGAATGTATTGCCAAAATAAAGCATTTTCCTTTCCAGCTACTTTTCAAAAGAGCAATGTGAGGGGGGAAATGCTTTATCTGGTACCTTTTGGTGCAACTCATAACCCCCTCCCCCCCCCCTGCCAAAAAAATAAATAAATAAAACACACACACACACACACACACAAAACAAAAACAAAAACAAAAAAACCCCGACTTTTAAAGGAAAGTTATCTTGAGTGCTTCAGTCAGCAGAATGCTGGGACTGGGAAAAGGTAAAGACATGGATTTGTACGATCATTGTGCAATCTTCAATGGCCACTAAACACTGCACCAATCATTAAGATATTCCAGATGATCACAATGTAAAATTATATTATTTATTTAGCATCATTTTTCAGAGACTCATAATTTCTTTTAAAAAGCTTTTAGCTTTTCATTCATAAGCTTATGAGCAAAATCCAGAGAACTTGATACACGTGTAGTGAGGAAGCACAAGGGAATGGAATTATTTACCCAACCTCATAAAAAAATTGATGTAAACGTAAGTCCCTGCACACATCAATTAATGACATGGCTTTTATAATGCAGGCAAATCTTACCTAATGAGGTTGGCATTAGGATTTCAGAGCACATTATTCTAGATGTTCAGTTAGTACCTAGATACTTTATTCTCAAAGTAATACTAGGGAACTTTAAAACAAAAATCAAACCATATCCTATTAGTTCAAAAGTGCAAATATATAGGTAATTAAACAATTCTCATTACAGGACAATCATTTTCAGCAAAGTAAATCCGAATCCATACTTGAATTTATATTTGCTAAATCTTGATTAGGTCATTGAAAAGATAAACCCTGTGATTTATTTGGAGGGAGAAGGGGAGTTCCCCTTAAGAGGAAAAGTTAAATCCAGTATCTTACAAGATGGATGCTTGGCCTAAGTGCCAATCTGTGTGTGTGTGTGGGGGGGGGGGTGTGTGGAGGGAGACAGAGAGAGAGGAGAAAGACATTTTCCATTAAAAGTAGGAGCTGTGCGTGGAGAGGGTCGCTGTGCCCTGACGCATGAGTACACAAGCTTCTTCAGTGTCCAAGCCTGGTGCCTGGGTGCCAAGCACCTGCAGCCTCTATTTCCAAGACTTTAAGAGGAGGAGACGGTTACTGGCTGAACGCCGGCATTGCCAGGGTCACCGGAGCGGTGGGTGGGTGGGTGGGAGTGGTCTTCACCGTTATTCCATCAGAACAGCATTTTCTGGGGACGGGAGCTGTTCTCCGAAGGGCTCCCTGCCGCCCTGGGGTCCAGCGGCTCCTTGCGGCTGCGTCCTTAGAGCCGGCCTGGCGGGCCCGGCCCGGGTCTGGTGCGCGGCGACCGTGCGATCCCCGGTCCCACAGCTGTTCTGTCCTTGCGCCTAGGTCCATGGAGGGGAGCCCGTCCCTGAGGCGCATGACGGTGATGCGCGAGAAGGGCCGGCGCCAGGCGGTCCGCGGCCCGGCCTTCATGTTCAACGACCGGGGCACCAGCCTCACGGCTGAGGAGGAGCGCTTCCTCGACGCCGCCGAGTACGGCAACATCCCCGTGGTGCGCAAGATGCTGGAGGAGTCCCGGACGCTGAACGTCAACTGCGTGGACTACATGGGCCAGAACGCGCTGCAGCTGGCCGTGGGCAACGAGCACCTGGAGGTGACCGAGCTGCTGCTCAAGAAGGAGAACCTGGCGCGCATCGGCGACGCGCTGCTGCTGGCCATCAGCAAGGGCTACGTGCGCATCGTGGAGGCCATCCTCAACCACCCCGGCTTCGCGGCCAGCGAGCGCCTGACCCTGAGCCCCTGCGAGCAGGAGCTGCAGGACGACGACTTCTACGCCTACGACGAGGACGGCACGCGCTTCTCGCCGGACATCACCCCCATCATCCTGGCCGCGCACTGCCAGAAGTACGAGGTGGTGCACATGCTGCTGCTGAAGGGCGCGCGCATCGAGCGGCCGCACGACTACTTCTGCAAGTGCGGGGACTGCACCGAGAAGCAGCGGCACGACTCCTTCAGCCACTCGCGCTCGCGGATCAACGCCTACAAGGGGCTGGCCAGCCCGGCCTACCTGTCCTTGTCCAGCGAGGACCCGGTGCTCACGGCCCTGGAGCTCAGCAACGAGCTGGCCAAGCTGGCCAACATCGAGAAGGAGTTCAAGGTGAGCCCTGTGCGCCTGGCCGCTCCCTGGGCTGTCCACACTAGGCCCCGGGAGCTCTAGATTGGGCTTCACCCAGTGGATCTTAGGTCACCAGGGATTGGAGCACCCTCGGAGTTGATGTGATGATTTCCCCTTGTCGATGTTAGTGCTGTGATATTCGCTCTGGGGATGGGTATATTCTGAATCCAAGCTACAATTCTGGAATCCCTCTGTGTTCTGGGTAAGCGTTAAATAAAACTCAAGACCTCTCCACCCCCTTTGACCAAATAAGATTTGGTGTGACCTTCCCCCTCCCCAATTCTTCCTCCTGTCTTGCAGTTAGATGTCCGGTGACACCCAACACAGAAGTAGTATTAGCTTTTTGGCTTGTTTTTATTCCCGGGGTAGGGGTGGGGGTGCCTGGTCCCTGGAGGAGCTGCACGACCAGGTCCATGATGGGAGTGGACGCTCCTATGCCTTCCCTCTGCGGTGATATGAGTTTTGAAAGCCCTCTTAATGGGCACAAGTGTTTTGATAGCCCTTTACAATCAAAGATCAAGAGGATGATATAAAACACTATTAAAATCATTTCGTTAATGTGACTAATGCCTCTTCCTGAATTCCACAAATGTCTTTTCAGAGGGTGAGACATAGATGTCAGGTCAAGGCAGAAACCCAAGGACACCCAAATGGGTTGCCTTAATGGGTTTTTGTTGTTGCTGTTAATGAGTGAACATTTTTATTCCGCTTTAATGGACTTTTTAAGTGAGTGAACTTTTTTCTGGACCTAATTTCCAGTCAAGCAGTATTATTTTTATAAAGATTATATATTAATGAGAGACTTTTTTCTCATTGCTGCATCCTCCTATGCATTTTGAATGTTTCTAGCTGTTAAACTCTAGGGCAAAAGTGTATTTTGTACTTCTGGTAAAAATCAGTCAAACTCTTCAGCAGTTCTTGTCTCCCACTTTTCACCTAAGAAGATGCAGGCATCAATTCCTTGAATGATTTTCTGGGCACCCTGTTAATTTTTTGGTTTAGTGTTGTGGTATCAAATCACAGGAAGAGTGGTTTGTCTGTCTTTCACATCTTAACATTATTTTTCACATATAAGTGAGATTTATTCAATGTAACTAACAGCATAATTCAGGTTAAGGAAAAACTGTTTTCCTCTGGGGTTGCAAGAAAATGGTGGCAGAGTGGTTTTCTCCCCTGCTTTCCAAACACCAAATTTCCTACCTATTCATCAGACCTTGCTAGATCTCCTGGTGGAGATCGAGCCTTAAGGTAATCTTGTTAATTCATTCAATTTTTTTTCCTGATGCAAAAGCTAGACATAGTTATTGTAAAAATCTTTTCAAAAAACATGGGAAAATACAAAGAAGAAAATGAGTATCACCTTATATCTATTCCCTTTGAAGACATTTATTATGTGGTAACTGAAAAGATTTATTTCCTTGGATCCAAGATGAAAGTCTTTTAGATAGAATCCAGGTTGAAAAAGTTCAAAACTTCAAACTGGCTAGAGAGAGCAGAAAAACATTTGGGTGAAATGCTTCTAAATATCAGGGTTTTTGTTTTGTTTTGAGACAATAATCGAAACATAATTCTGAATTTGCTTATTTGCCACCATTTCAAAAGCACCACGAACCTTGTTTTTAGTTTGCTTGATGTATATTGAAAGTCTGCAGAAGAAATTCTATAGACAGGATTATTTTGAAAGATTCTGTAATTTACTAAAGATGGCCATGTTTGCAGTTTTCCCAGGGAAGGCACGCAGAGAAGCAGTGGCCAGGCGTTTGTTAGTCCTAGTTTCCCCCGAAGCTGGCTAAGTCCATATCAGTGGTGCTGGGACTCCACTCTGATGGAAGAGTCGCTTCTGATAACCTTTCAGGGGTGGGAATATCGCAGGTGCAGCAGCCCACAGGGACAAGCACAGGGAGTCCCAGAGGACAGCCATGGGGCGGCCACACACTGAGAATGGGCCAGTGTTCCCAAATCTCCAGTTCCTTTTCTCCTTGCATGGCAAGTGGGTGTAGCCTGACACCCTCTGAGCTTGGGAGGACTGTCCTCCCTGCAGTCAGAGCCTCCCAAGACTGCCAGCCTCCCTGCCCTGACCAAGGCGCGGTTCCTCCCCTGCGCCCCGTCCTGGCTGTTCCCTTCTCATCTCTCTCCTGCTGCCCCTGTGCCCTCCCATCCCGGGCGCCTGGCATCTGTCAGGGCTTTAGACAGAAAGAGAAGCTGGTGCTTTCCCAGCCTGACCCAGACTCTCTGAGCTCTGAAAGGGCAGTGCGAGCAAAGCTCTTCTCTGAGGAAAGCAGGTAACCTAATTTGCCCTGTTCTGCCGTGTTCGCAATACTCTCTCCGCAGGGACTTTGAGTACCAGCCTTGGAATGGAAAAATAGATATAGCGTTCCCTGGTGAAATCGTGGTGATTTTCCCCTTCTCAGACACCTATGCCTATTCATCTTATTAATGGTCTGTAATAGCTCATGTCTCACCTCTCAAATTGCCTTCCTGTAGGTGCTTTGGAGGAGATTCTCAGCCACTGTGCAGTTTCCAAAGTTCCTTGAGGGCCGCAGTCCGCAGGGTGTCAAAAACACATGAAGGTCATTACCTGCAGAGGTCGCGCATTCTAGGACGTAGATTTAGATAGATCAACAGAGGACAGCCCAGTGACAGGTTATTAAAGAAGTATTTTAGATGTGCAAATGCTGTCTGAAGCTATTCTAAGGAACAGAATATTGGACAGGAGGGACTCTGGGTCTAATTGGCCACATGTCAGTGACAAGGAAGTCAGCCATCTATTAACAGTGAGAAAGCAAATTGAAATTTCCTAACTCTGACTGATCGGGTGATGTACTTTTTAAATAAAAGACAAAACAAAATGACAATAGCTACAAAACAAAGCCACCAGCCTTCCCTGTGCCTCAGTTTGCCTCTCCTTAAAGCAGAAAGGCAGTTTCGATTTACATCACAATAAGGAGAAAGAAAATAAATATGATCCACACGCAGGGTGATGTTTGAGAGCAGGAGGATACTCTAGGAGTCATCTGCTTCCACAGACCCCTCCTTTACAAATGAGGAAATCAAGGCTAAGTCCCAGGTCCCATTTGCTAAGCCTCGATTTGAGTGTCTTAGATCCCTGTTCTAGGAATTATAGCTAGAACAATAGACCTGATGATACTGAAGCACCTCTAGTACTTAATGTGTACCAAGCATTTAATCCTTACAGTACTTGTAGAAGGTAGGATTATTCTCATCAGAGAGGGTAAGTAAATCCCACCAGATTACACAGCAGGTCAGTGGTAGAAGCAGGGTTTGAGTCCAGGAGTCTGACTTCAGGTTCTAAGGGAAGCCAAGCTCAATCACTACACCTCCTCCCTCTTTTGCTGTTAGAGAAAGGACCCTGGAGAACCAAGCCTGCTTAGAGTTGAATTTAGTTTTCCTCTTCAGGACAGAAAGGGATTGGAATGGAGATTAGACCATTTAAATTGAAAGAAGTACAGCTGAGTGTTGATGAAGACTGAGCTCTGCAGTCACTGCTTTGGCTTGAGCAGGTCCTGGGGGTTTGCAGCGCCTGCCCTGTAGTGTGCCGTGAGTCCCTCTGCCAACTGGAGGGCCATGGAAATGGAAAAGCAGCACTGTGAAGACCATTAGGCAAAACTTAAGAGAGGAGTGTCTTAGAAATGGTAACCAATCATGATCCGAGCTGCGAAGCCACTGGGCAGGACCTCAGAGTGGAATGAGCAGTCAGCCTAGGCTTCGCACGGATGCCCTTCCGGGAACTGACGGCAGGTGCTGAGTTTAGATAGAGCTGTCTGCCTTCCTGAGGGCTCCCAGTAGCTCTTAGAAATGGTGCCCCACGATGGCAGTGAAGGAGATTCCCGTTAGCTGGTCCTGGTGGTGCACGCCTGTAGCCCTGGGTATTCGAGAGTCTGACAAATGGGTTGCTTGCGCCCAGGAGTCAAGAATTTCAGGTCAATCTGGGCAATGCAAGGAGACCTCAGGTCAAACAGACAAAAAGAGAGAGAAGAAGGGGAGGACAAAGGAAGGAAGGAAGGAGGGAAGGAAGGAAGGGTGGACCATCGTCTCCAGCTATGATTGTTTTCTGCACTTTGTTATGAAAACAAAACATTGTCCTTGCAACTTACATAATTACTAACTTTTTGTTTCTTGACTGACCTTTCGGTGAATGTGAAAAAAATTTACACAGCTTTTCTTAAAACTGGACACTTTTCAGATTATGATTTTAAAGGTAATGAGTCAGCATTTAGGTATCACTGCAAAAGCCAAGTGCTGAGCTTTCTTCCAAGCCGGGAAGCAGCCTCTTTTATTTCTGATCGGTGGAGAAATGGCCATCCTATGTTTTACAAATCTTACAGAACGGTCTGAACTGAAGAGTAACACGAGAAAATTTCATCTAAAAAGACTGTATTCAAAAGGGAGCTTTCTATGGAAACGGGCATGGATTTAATACTTCTGTGTGCTATAATAGAATATTTCATTAGTCTTCAGGAATGGAGGGCAGATGGATGTTTAACTGACCCTCTGCTTAGAAACCAGAGACTGGACATTTTATTAATTTTATCAGTTGCATAGTACCAACTTGAATGGAAACCAAAGATCGAAGTTTTATTCATTGTATCTGTTCCCTTATGAGAGGAAAAGGATTAACTGTGACTGTTCCGTATCTAATATCTGATATCTGAAATGGAAACTGTGTTAGTTGGGGCAGCCTTTGAACAAATCCTCTTTCCTCTACTTCTTTATTTTAGTTGGTGCAGTTTTGCCCATAAGATCAAGTTAAATATTTAAAGGAAGAGAATTGGAATTCTTTGTGTCTTCTTGCAAAGAATGATTTCTGGAAGCCCGGGAATTCTACGGTGCTAAGTATTGCTTGGTTATACAGACACAAGGAGTCTCAGAATGTGTTGAAATGAGGAATTCTATTTCCCTCAAGTGTACCAAATTAAATTATTATCTGGATGGCTTCCGTAAGGGGCTAGAATTTTAGTTCACAGAGGTAGAGCTGAGGTTTATGAAGGTGAGGCACTTTCCCAAGAGATGGTCTTTGGCACCTTGACCGGAACCCAAGGCTAGAAATAGAGCTGCCTTCAGGAGGCAGCAGGGACTGCTGTGGGCACCACTAAATATGCAAATGAAATTAAAAACTCACAGATTATTTTTAGCAAGGTGTTAGTTCCAGTGGCCTGGAAATTTTTCTCGCAGGTATTGACTTTCTGTAACCCTTGAGATTTCAATTATGTATAATCAGGCATTTCTCTCCTAGTTCTACTGGGAGTGATAATGTGCCTTGCAGACAAACCAGGAAGAAAACACTCCTCATACGGGTGGGAACCCATTCGCTCCTTCATGTTTATCAGAAAACATTCTCAAGCATGAGCTTGGGTCAGAACCACTCACAGGTTGCTGGGCCCTCCTCCATTTCTGCATCAGGACACCTGGTCTGAGAACTGTGCTTTGAGAAGCAACCTCTCCTACAAGGCAAGAGATGGCGACCTGGACGGGGTCCTTCCACATGTAGTCCATCTTCCATGTCCAATTGCCAGTCAATAGATATAGTGTTGTTTGGGCTTTAGAATAACTATTGTGTGTATAAAACAGATACAACTCTTTGATCCTTTGGTCTTTCGGCATTGCCAATTAGCCAGCATCACTTAGTAAGAACCAGTGAATTATGAGCACATCACTTTTTTTAAAGCAAATGTAAATTTTTTTATTTTTTGTAGTGATGGTGAATCAAACCCAGGGCCTCACACATCCTAGGAAGTGCTCTGAGTATTGATTATAATCAACAAATAATAATTTTATATATTTATGGAGTACCATGTGAAATTTTGATGTATGTGTGCAACGTGGAATGATCACATGAGCAGTTAACATATTCATCACCTCCCTTATCATTGTTTATGGTGTGATACTTGAAGTTTACTCTCAGAAATTTTGTTTTTTTGGGGGGTGGGTATTAGGGATTAAACTCAGGGGCACTCAACCACTGAGCCACAACCCCAACCCTATTTTGTATTTTATTTAGAGACAGGGTCTCACTGAGTTGCTTAGTGCCTCATCATTGCTTAGGCTGGCTTTGAACTTGGAATTCTCCTTCTCAGCCTCCTGAGCCCCTGGATCACAGGTGTGCGCCACTGCACCTGGCTATTCTCAGCAATTTTGAAATATTACATATCACAGTAGTTACATTGTGGTAACTGTAACCACTGTGCTATGCAATAGATTTTGAAAATCCATTCCTCCTGTCTAACTGAAACTTTGAACCCTTTGTTCACCATCTCTCCATTCCCTCCGCACCCCAGTTAACCATTATCTGTTCTTCACTTCCAGGGGTTGGGGGGTTTAGATTCCACATGTAAGTGAGATCGCATGCCTACTGTTTTCAGAACTGTCCCACGTCATTGGGCAGGTCATAGAGGGGAACCTAGCTAAGGGGTAGAGGAGGCAACTCCAGCCCTCTCTATCTCAGCAAGACCTCCTGTCTGGGGAAGGGACACCTTTGCTAATCCACACACACCTAAACGCTTCCCGCTGGGTAAAGGGAAATCTGTTGTTTTAAGCAGGACTATAAGAACCTCTTGTTTTTAGAACGACTACAGGAAGCTCTCCATGCAGTGCAAAGATTTTGTGGTGGGCGTGCTGGACCTCTGCCGGGACTCGGAGGAGGTGGAGGCCATTCTGAACGGAGACCTGGAGTCTGCGGAGCCCCCGGAGGTGCACAGGCACAGAGCGCTGAGCCGCGTCAAGCTCGCCATCAAGTATGAAGTAAAAAAGGTGAGTGGACGCTTCACCATGGACTGAAGGAATTCCTGTTACTTCGTGAAAGACATTGAGTAGAGAATCCAGGCAGAGCTGCAAGATAAACGTCTAGGTTTGAATCCTTTCCACTTATTACCCATTATGGGTCCTTGGATAAGTCATAAATCTATAAGTTTCAGATTCCTCATATAAAAGGAGGACATTCCCCGTTATGTGTCTCAGGTTTTGGTGGGATTTAAACGGATGAAGATATGCAAAACATTCTGGCAACTGTTGCAATTTCAACGCAATTAATACCAGTATCTGTAGCTTGTAGACATGTAAGTATAATCACTGTGCTATGCAATGGATTTCAAAAATCCAGTCCTCCTGTCTAACTGAAGCTTTGAACCCTTTAATCACCATCTCTTCATTCCCTCTGCACCCTAGTTAACCACTTGTTCTTCGCTTCCAGGAGTTGGGGGGTTTAGATTCCCCGTATAAGAGCTGTCCCATGTCCTTGGTACTATTACACTGACAACAGGCTGGGGGACTCACATGTAAGGTACTATTACATTTTTTATCATCCTAATCTTTGCAGCAAGACTATGTTATTATTTATTCTACTATAAAATAGCTAAGATAGATGATGAGGTTTCTCTTGTACTGGAAAACTGAAGTCACTGGCTTAAATGACATGTCCAAGGTCCAGAGCTATGGAGTTGGTCATATAAGTATGAGAAATTGAAAGTATGATTATTTTTATTCTGATTATTGCAGAAAAACTGTTAGGTATATTTATAAAACTGTTAGGTATATATATTTTATTTATTTCTAAAACTGTTAGGGATATATATTAAATAAATAGATAATTAGATAATAAAGTATTAGATAATTCATGAAAATAGTAGTTGCAGTATTTTTCACTATAATAAAATCATATTTATCCAGAATCCGACAGTTTATCCATGTTGTAGCTGAGGGGGTTTCTTGGTTTCTTTGTTCTGTTTTTGTTTTTTGCTGTGTGTGCTTTCAATGGAGCTGACAGGTCATGAAGACGTTAGCTATTATTAGAACAGACATAGATCTGGATTCGTGATCAGGTCAATGACCAGCACGGCTTCTGTCCTTTCTGCAGAGTGTCATGGGGCTTAGGAGGACAGGCATCGGAGCCACCCTGCAGGACTCAAGGCCTGATGTTGCCATGGGTTCCCTGAGTGGCCAGTGGCAAGTCGCCTGGCCATCTAGGCTCCATCTGCTGGTCAGGAAAGTGGGGACCATAACAGTGACTAACATTCGGGTGTTTGATGGTTGGTTACAGCAGATACAGGGGGCTACACGGTGTTTGCTCAATAAGCATTAACTAATAACATTTCTCCATTATGAAAATTCCTGCTCAAAGTGAATGACCTTTAGGCAAGATCAGTCACTAAAGACATGTTTCGGGTCCCTTGTGCTGGTTCCAGTCCTTGGTATCAGACGTAGCCAATTTTAGCAGGAAACCATGGAGTAAGGGGTGTTAGGAAGCTCACAGAACCAGAAGGAAAGGTGGAACTAAGCTGGGCTTCTAGAAACTTCACTGGAACTGACCTGGACAGGGAGTTCCTGTGGCCCCAACAGAACAATTCTGCGGCTGAGTAGACAGCGGGCTCCTGCACCGTGGAAAGGACGCTGTGAGTCCCTCAGCCTGTTGTCAAAGGGCCCTTCCAAGTCATACCAGCCAGGAGCTCTTGGCAGCAGGTGAGGACAGGGCAGTCTCCCTGCACCCTCGTGGACACACACAGGTGTGCACACACATGCACAACACGACCACAGTGTGGAGAGCTTTGCATGTGGTACTACGTAGATTCTGTTCAGACATTAATGACAAATCTCCCTTTCCTTAACAAGACAGTCAGATGTGAAGGTTCTCAGCAAAGATCAGAGCAAAATAACTTTTCATGGAAATTATTAGTTTCAAGGTAATTAAGTTGGCTTGACCGCCCTCCTCTCGGCGCATCCTTGCTAGTTGAGGTTTCACTATGTTGGGGGAAAAGATAATTTCAACAAGATTGATAGTGGCTGTTTTTAGAAAGTTGTCTGGACACGTCTTCAGGGAGCTTGCAATATGTGGTCCTTCTGTTTGGCACCTGAGAGAAGAGAATTGATTCTGCTTGTCTCTGTTTTTTTATCATTGCTGTGGAACGTCGTGTTGGCAGAGACAGCTCATCTGCAGACGCACACCTGTTAACCAAGCTGTCTTGCAGAGTGATTGTCCTTCTCCATGTTAATTTTAAGCAAATTGGTGCATAGGTCACAATGCGTGAGGTGTCATTAATAATAAATTTGCTATCAGTCAACCACCAGGAAACAAACAAACAAACAAACAAAAAGTATTTAGAACTGAAAGGCGACTTAGCACTTCATAAGCATTTCTGTTCTGTTTGTTTTATGCCGTAAGGAATATTGAAGCCTTTGGTTTGGAATCTTCACTCAATAACAGTGTATAAGAACTTCATTCTAGCTAGGCATGGTGACACACCTATAATCCCAGCTGTCCTGGAGGCTGAGGCAGGAGGGTCGTAAGGCCAACCTCAGCAACTTACTGAGACCCCCCTCTCGAAATTAAAAACAGAACACCTGGAGGTGTAGATCCTGGGTGCAGTCACCGTCCTGGGGGGCTCTGTCCTGGAATCCCAACACCGCCCCAGCTCTCCCTTTCCTCTGCTGTCTCGGAGGCTGGCTGCACTCCCCGCTCCCATCTCCACCCCAGCCAGGAGGAAGAGCATCACCCCTTCCACTCTGCCACTTCCCTCACCACCACCTCCTTACTAGTCCCCAAGCAAAGCGACCTCTAGATGATAAGGACATGTCTGCCCACGAGCTGGTCCACGGGGCTCCCAAGTGACATCATGCCTTATGGCCCCCTGTCCTCAGTAGCCTCGTGACTTCATGCTTATTCAGTCGATATTCCACCTTGGACACTGGCTCTATGCCGTGGAGGCCGACGACTTAGGACTTCTTTCCTCTGCCACCTGCCCAAGGGCTGCTCCCTGCTTTACTCCAGAAGCAGGCCATGAGCCTGGACCAGCGCCGAGCCCCCAGAGCCCAGGTCCTGCCCAGGTCCACCCATGTGCTCCATCAGGCCTCACAGAGCATCCACAGGCGATCAGCAGAATGAAAACGCAGAAGGCCGGAACAGGAAATATGCCACTGTGCTTTTGACGTTTGTATGGGAAAGAAGTTTCCCACATGAAGGCAAAAGAAGTCTCAAAGCAGAACCAAATGATACTGCACCCCAGAAAGATCACAGACAAAACAGTGAAGGACCGGGGCTGAGGTGGAGGCTCCGCAGTGTGTGCTCGGCTAGCACGTGCCAGCCCTGGTTTCCGGCCTCAGCACCACATATCAATGACTAAATTAAATAAAGGTATGGGTCCAACTACAACTAAAAATTAATTTCTTTTTTAAAAAAAGCAAGGGACAAACTGGGAAAAGATTTTTCTGGATTGTCACTTACAGAGGATTGATGTTCTTAATATCCAGAGGGCTCAGAGAAATGTGTATGGAAATGTCCAGGGCCGGGGGACAGTGAGCAAGGGCTCCACACGTGACCCCAGGAGAGGAAAACTCAAGTTTCAGTGTTTGCTAACATGCAGACCCTGTGCTCCCCTCCCCTGTTATCAAAGAGTCAAAGCCACAGTTCAGGGGAAATGGGCAAGCCCGTTCACCTCTTCCTATCAGGGAGTAGATTTTGATGCTTACTGATCCTAGAACTATTTCTGTGGGATGTCCAAAGCAAACCATGAGGCCAGAAGGATGATAAACATTGCTATTTACATAGATGGGCACACTATTCCACTAAGAGCATGGAATCCAGTAAAAATGAAATTGTGTTTCTGAAAATTAACTTTTGGACAAAAGCATTAACTTTGTCCAATTAGAATAATGGACTCTGCCCCTAAAAAGGCTTTTGAGTTCCAATCCTGGCTGAACCTCGGTCCTGCTCTGCGAGTGAGCCTCAACCCCTGCCCTCCACAGGTGTGATAAGTGCCACCTGGGAAGTGTCCCAGGAGCCGGCTGTTGTGGCCAATGGCCCTGGATCGTGCAGACCACTTAATCTGTGGACCTGCGATCCTGAGAGGAAGCGTCCCCTGGTTCCTCTCCCTGGTTCCTCTCCCTGCGTAATGGGCTCAGTTTCATTGGCTGAGATTCGTCTAAGGAAGGGACGTGAAGCCGTGCAGGCCTGACAGCCCCGCAGCCACCGACTCTGTGCCCTCGGCCAGGCCCAGGGGCTGCCCCCGCACCTCTCCTCCCCCTGGGCTCAGGCACCCGGACCACAGCAGGCCCTCAGCCCGGCCCACAGTCTGGGAAACCTGTACAGTTTAGAAGCTTTACGTTTACGTTTCACAACTCAATGAACTGTAAAAAGAAGTTGTCCAGTTTTCACTCACAAGAATATTTTCTTTTAAGCTGTATGAATTGGGGCTCTATCCGTGTCATTAAAAACAAAAACAGAGTGTTCCTACCACGTTTTTACACAGCAATTTGATGTGTGAATATCGTGAAATCTGATTTGATGAAAAGACGGTGTAAAATGAAAATGTTTAAGTGTAAACCTATTTAATTGTTCTGTCTAGCTTGTCCTGATTGGTGGTTCAGTTTACAACCTACTGGTCATTTGGCAGGAAAAAAAAATCTTTGTCCTAGAGTGCTGTGGTTGCTTTGCTCCACCAGAAGATCGACGTTTGCTTGGGTCAAGCATTCTTCCTTCAAATCAGAAAACCTCAAATAAGGGTATTATGTTTGTAATGACTTCAATTTGCTGGTCCACTGAAGTTGGGAAACAACATACAAATTCTATCCAGCTAGCTGTGGTGTGGAACACAGGGACATTTTTTAGAAAGTAAAATAGTTTTAAGAGATAAAGGTCAGTGCCCTATTTTGAAGTCATTGGAAAGTGAAAAACTCATCTCCTAGAGGGATTAGTTTTGTTGGTTTTTTCCCCTTACATGCTAATACTATATTTGGTTTTATCTTCTGCTTTTGAAATGCCCTTTATATGATTGTAGTAGAATTTTAAATTGTTGAGAAAAATATATTTGCATGAACTAAAAGGAATACAGATGTCATGGAGGGTGAATTATCACAAATAAAGAGAGGTAGAAGTAGGTGTGTAGGAAACACACCTGCTGGGCTGAGTCTTAAAGTATGACACACAGAGCAGACACCGTGACCTGGGCTGGCATCTAACAGGCTGGGAGATTTGCACTGTGTGTCCAAGTCACAGCAAGTCAGACACTGACCCTCACGTTTGCTGTGTGGTAAGGACAGGTTTCTGTCGGGGGTCTGAGGCCGTGCAACCTTTATGCAGATGTGATTCATGCCGTCAAACGCATCTTCAGGTCTGAGGATTAGCAGGCAGGAAGAGGGAGAGCCACACCACAGCTTCAATGTTTCCATCCTCAGGGTTTAAAGCCTCAGAGTATCATAGTCCTGGTGCTGCTGTAACCGAATACTTGAGGCTAATTTACAGGAAGAGGGATGCATTCCTCAGAGCTCTGGAGATGGGTTAAGTGATCAAGAAAGCATCAGCAGGTTCAGTTCTGGTGAGGACTGCATCCTTCAGACAGGCAGGCACTGGGTCCTAATGCGGCAGAGAGTGAAGACAAGCTCGCTAACCACGGCGCAGGAACTCTCTCTGTGAGGTTTCATCCCCTCAAGGAGGGAGTGGCCCTCGAGGCCTCCTCAACCCTTAGTAGAGGGATTTCTGCTTTTGTTTTAAGAGACAGGGTCTTGTAATGTTGCGCAGCTGGCCTTGCACTCCTGAGCTGAAGGATCCTCCTGCCTCAGCCTCCCGAGAGCCGAGGTGTGCACCCTACACCTGGTCACCTCTCAAAGCTGTCACCTCTTAAGAATATCACATTGGCAACATCCAAATTTTGGAGGAGACACATTCAAACCATAGTCAGCAGACAAGCCCCAAGGAAATTTATCCAGAAATCCCAGGAACACGGCCCACGTGTCTCCAGACCTCACGGGTATTCTGTGCCTCACAGAAACCCTCGACTTATTAAAAAAACAAAAAGGTGCAAGGTTGGATTTCCAGTTTGGTGACTTGTGTGCTCAGCCTGTAGCTTTCCTTCCTGTGCCAGCCTGGCCAGTGTTACCAGGGGTGCCCTTTATTTCTGCCTGTCCAGCTTCCCACAAATGCAACCCCCCAGATTCCAAGACATGTGGACCAACATCCAAATTAACACTGTTTCATTTTCAACTCTGACCACGCCTGTCCCTTAGCGACAGCTCGCTGTGTGCCCCACGTGGAGTCCCAGCTCTGTGACCACGCCTGTCCCTTAGCGAGAGCTCCCTGCGTTCCCTGAGCAGAGCCAAGCCCTCTGGGCAAGGCGGGTGCCCCCATCTTTATCTTCTTGTGCCAAGTGCCCAGCACAGTGCCTGGCTCTCACAAGGTCTCAGCCATTCTGATGAGTGAATGAATAATGAGATGGACATTGGGAGCTGGACAGAGGGGTGACGAATAAGAAAATGATACAAATATAGGACCAGGGCGGGGGTGGAAATTTGGAGTTCTCATCAAGGATCCTAAGAATCTCGTCACATAGACCCAGGAAGTTGTCACCTTGATTATACCCATAGATTTCTTTCTCCTTCTCCTCTTCTCCTCCTCCCCCTCCTCCTCCCCCTCTTCCCCCCTCCTCCTCCCCCTCTTCCCCCCTCCTCCTCCCCCTCCTCGTCTTCCTTCTTTTTTCTACAGCTGAGGATGGAACCCCAACTCTGTGCACTGTGGACCAGTGTTCCACCACTGAGCTACACCCCAGCCCTTTTTATTTATTGAGACAGGGTCTCACTAAATTGTCAAGTCTTGCCTCCAACTTGCAATCCTCCTGCCCCAGCCTCCCTAATAGCTGGAATTACAGGCATGTGCCACCACACCCAGCACTATACCCAGGGATTTTATCATTTTCGAATAATGACTGCAATGTTACATGAAATATTGTTTTCAAAAGGCAGAAACTTTAAAGTGCAACAGAATCTTGGTCTGGAAAGATCTAATGAGTACTTAGCATCTGGCAAGCACTAGAGTGCATAAGGACCTCGGATTTGTATAACTGAATGAAAGGAATTTATAATTAAATGTGTCTTAGTTTGGGCCACTATAACAAAATACCTTAGCCTGGGTGATTTATAAACAAAAGAAACGTATTTCTCACTGTTCTGGGGGCTGGAAGGGGAGCTCAGGGTGCAGCAAGGTTGGGCTCTGGCGAAGGTGCTTTTCCGGGTTGCAGACTGTGATCTTCTCACTTACCCACATGTGGCAGGAAGGGGACTCTTACAAGGGCACTGATCCTGCCATGAGCGCTCCACCCTCACGGAAAGCAAAATGAAGAAGAAAGAAAAAGAAACAGAGACAGACCCCACGGGTCAGCCATGCTTAGTTCCTCAGCGGAGGGCAAGTTTTCAAGAGAGAAAATGGCAGCTGGTTACAGTGGGGTCTGAGTTCCGGAGGGTTTAGTGAGACTGAATCACAGCAGAATGTGTGGGTGGGGCAGTCAGGGCACAGTTGTGAAAGTCCAGAGCCTTGTTCTCCTTTTCTCCCTGGGGGTTCACTCACAACCTGATCACTTCCCCACACACCCTCTCCTGACACCCTCACATCAGGGGTTGGACACAAACACTAAGTCCGTAACATATAAATATACATTGACCATCAAACAAGAAAAGAGCAGCCTCTTGCAAGCCGTTAAACCCTCCAAACACCACTAGGTAGTGGCGTTGCAAATAATTCAGTTGAGTATTTCAAATATCACATCTGTGACTGCGTTCCCTCCGCTCTGTCAACTGGCCCTCGAGTCCTCTTGCACGCGGCACGGTGGCAGCTGCCAGAGCTGTCATGCCTGCATCCCGGAGTGGGCGCATGCAGGCTCCAGCCAGGGGTGGCCATGCGGGGGCATCGTGCCCAGGGGTGTGCTCCTCATGGACAGCTGCGTGGCTTGAGGAACTGCCTGGGTCTCAGGCACCGTTAGGGTCACTGGCCAGAGCTTGATGGACGAGGAACCCTTGGCCATTGGGAACTGCGGCTGCTCTCTGCCTCTCCAAGTTCCCAGAACATTTTGTGGGCGCATCCAAACAGGTTTGTTGTTATTGTTTATTCTGGCTTTCCAGAAGACAGTGAGAATTTTATTTTATCATAGTAAAGGCTCCTTTAAAAAAATCTGCTGGCGCTCATAGTCTGCTTTGGAATGACCTCCAGATTCCCAAGCTTGGGCATTCAAAGGAGGGCGTGTCTAGCACCATGGCAGCTTTGGGGCCTGGGAGCTTTACCTTGGCCTGATATTGTGCTGCCGGGAAGAGGGCAGATCCCTGAGAACCCCGGTGCCTCTAAACGATGCAGGCAGATGGCGTGGCGAACTCAAATGGCAGGCTGAAGTCAGTGACGCTGGTTCACTTTTCCTGTAGTCATAAAAGAACTGCTCGGGATGCTTGTGTTCTTCTCGCCTGCGGTGGAGGAAGGCCCTGCCAGAGGGCAGGTTTCTGAAATAGAGAAATCACGTGGATGCCGGCCCCGAGGCAGTGGGCGTGGCCCCGGCACCACCTGCAGGTTACTGGTGCTTTGCAGGTCTTCGGGTTTTCAGTGACAATACCCACACACTCAGAGGGCACAGCGTCTCTGTATTTCTCATACATGTGGCATTTTAGGGCTGCTCGAGACATTTAAAAACACCCTCTTTCAGCAGTAGTCGACAATAAGCCAAATACCTTCCGCGTTTCCATTGGCACTGAGTGCCAGGGAGCCAGCAGACGGCAGGTCGCACACTTTCACCAAAGGAGCCAGGCGCCACTCACACTGCACTCAGGAAGCAGTGAACGCTGGAGGGTTTCTGTCAGAAAGAGCTCTGATGAAGGACAGTGTCAGTTCCACCCCGTCTCCACATTAGCTCTGCTAACGGTTACCAAGTAGCTTCGGGAAATGGAGGGAAGGCAAAGGAGGATTCTGCGGAACCTCCAGGGCCTGGGTCTGGCGCTGTCTGGGCGCACGTGGGGGCCCGGCTGAGCGGTGTGCGCGGTGTGGTGACTTCTCTCTCTCCCCTTCCCCAGTTTGTGGCGCACCCCAACTGCCAGCAGCAGCTCCTGACCATCTGGTACGAGAACCTCTCGGGCCTGCGGGAGCAGACGGTGGCTGTCAAGTGCCTGGTGGTGCTGGTTGTGGCCGTGGGCCTCCCGCTGCTCGCCATCGGATACTGGATCGCCCCCTGCAGCCGGGTACTGGCCCTACACCCTCCTGTGTTGGCGCAGAGTGACCCTCTAGATGAGGAGAGAAGGGAGCTTCACGCTCAGGGCTTCCCCTGGATGTTAGTTCCCTCGCGAGCACAGATCTGAGCCACATCTGCAGGCACAAGGCACGCAGGCTCAGGAGGAGAGAAAGCCCAGCGCATTCAGGCCCACTCTGCTGACAGCTTCATAAGCAGAGCGTCGACCGTGCTGGAACCAGAAGGGACAGCCCCACTGTGAGAACCAAGCAGTAGGTCATCCGGAGCCGGCCGGAGCCCGCGGGAGCCATCTGAGGCTGGGTCCCAAGCCCACTGAGGACGGGCTCTCAGCCTGGGGCCTGAGTCAGCTCCCCCAGCCCTCTGTTCCTCCAGACACATGTGGGGGCTGTGACATCATCTGGTTTTGCTTAGGCCATCTGTCCCCTACCCTTCCTCGCCTCTTGGCCTGCTCATGAAGAGCTCTGCAGTGGGGCCTGAGAGGTCCCTGAAAGGGGCAGGGGCGGGACCCAGCCTGGCCGCGGAGTCCAGGGAGGCTGATAAGGCACTGCTGGAGGGAGGAGCTGCTCTGAGGCCGCTCAGTCCTGTTCCCTCTTCCTGAACCTGGTTTTGTTATAATGGGGGCGGTGTCAGGCAGAACGAGTCACGGCCACTTACAAATGGCCCTGGAAACCCGTGGGCACTCTGGCTAGACTCCTGAGCAGTCCTGCTCCGGGGCACCGTGTGTGTGTGTGTGTGTGTGTGTGTGAGTGTGTGTGTGTGTGTGAGATTCCTCTCACCTCTCTGCTGGGCTGCCCAGGGCAGCCGAGGGCAGAAAGCTCCTCATTACGCACCTAGTTGGACTAAGTTCTTCTGTTCCATATTGTGGAAAACTACTTCCGGATCCTTCACCTCATAAACACCAAACCCTGATACATGAGGACAGCACCGAGGGACACCACCATCCTCCCACCGGCGTCCCTCTCTGTGGGTGGTGAACTGGAGCACTCACATGTCTCCTAGCAGCTCACCAGCTAGGACAGGACGTCAGGTTTGAAGTGGACATCTGGGGCCACTCCTCACAGGATGGTGATCTCTCCTGGGCAGAGGGGGTGGTGGGAGTTGAGTCATTCCTTGTGCCCCCGTTTATAGCTGCTGTGAACCACCCATCCAGGGCACAAAGGAGACAGCAAGCATACTCCACACCTGCCCCGTTACTCAGAGAAGTGCACGGCTTCCTCTTCCACCTTTAGGAGAAGCAGATGCTGTGGACAAGCTGCCCCATGTGCCCTCTCCACGGCTGTGGACAGCAGTGTGACACGGCAGTTTACTCCTCTGTGTCCAGCGTAGAAGATGTGAATTTTGCCAAGTGCCCTCCTGTGTCTCCAGCCCCAGCAATACTGGATGTTCTTGGTCATTTGTTGACATCAAACTGAGGCTCTGGACATTTGTTCAAAGTTCAGTCTTTCAAATGCAAACCTCAGTGCTTTTGAGGTCACAGACTGAGTTCCAGGCAGGAGCTGACAGTGTGGACTGGAGGACTCACTTGATAAATCTACCGCATGCTCAGGAATGAGGACCGCGGAGGCCTTGGAGACAGGAGGAATTGTTTTTCATTTCCATTAGAACACGGGACTTTTAAGGACATCATGTCCCAGGGGATTTTTCAGGAGTCACCTAAAAATAATTACAAACTGAACTTTAGAATAGCTTTTGCACTATAGCATAATTTTCCAAACTCAGAGGATGACTTTTAATTAAGCTAACCTACTTGGAGGTTTCAATTATTGAGGTGGTAATGGATAAAATATTCATTTTGAGTTCTAATATTTTCTGCCTTTTCATATGATACAAGGTATAATGATTTTGAAGTATTTAGAAATGAGAACTCGAATTACTTCTGCTGTAGTAACTATTTTTTTTTCAACCCCTCAGAGGGTTTTTAATGCCCTGAGTCTACAAACTTCTAGGATTTCAGTTACAAAGCATTAAAGAACCGCATAGGGCATATTCAAAGTTTCTTTCCAGCTGCAAGAACTTTGATTTTGCAAAGTCTCTCTCATGAAGAAGGAAGAAGAACTGCACACGTCCTGGGACCCCTGGAAGTGCATCTGCCAGCGTAGTTGCCTGAGGGAAACTAGATGTTGAGAAACAATGAATCCCGAGGCCTTATTAAATCACTTTTCAACCAAGAGTCTCCCTGTAAAGATTAGCTTTCACCATTATAGCTCTTCAGGAACAGAAACAGGTCTTTAAAAGTGCTCCCATTTCCTTTATCTGTTGTCTGTATATGAAGTGTTAAAAGTGGAAGACACATTTTCTAAAGTGAAATTTCTCTGTCTCCCCGCTGCCCCGTCTTGCTCCAGCTGGGGCGGGTTCTGCGGAGCCCCTTCATGAAGTTTGTGGCACACGCGGCCTCCTTCATCATCTTCCTGGGCCTGCTGGTGTTCAACGCCTCCGACAGGTTTGAAGGCATCGCCACACTGCCCAACATCACAGTCACTGACTACCCCAAACAGATCTTCAGGGTGAAGACCACTCAGTTCACGTGGACAGAGATGCTGATCATGGTCTGGGTTCTCGGTAAGGCTTTGATTTCAAGTACCCTAACTTTTACCAAAAACTAGTTGTCTAAATGATTGTCAGTTTCTGCTAAAGCTGCTATGCCTTCCCTGGTAAGGACGTCACCGGTGTCAGGTGAGCTAAGTAACAAAATAATTGAATAATTTGGTACATGCCTATAAAAGTTATGCCTTAACTTAGTCTAAGTTTTTATGATTAACTTGACCTGATTACAAGTTTACCATGTTTCAGAAATCTAACTTCAATGATTGAACACAACTAAGTTTTTAAATGTAACTCACTGTTGTGATCAGTCATTCAATTGAAATGCTTATGAAATAAACCAGCAGCTATTAACTGAGGACTAAAGAACCTTTATGTTGCATTTGAGAGATTTTTAGGAGTTTCCATTTTCAGGATGTTTGTTACTTTGCTTTGCAGTAACCCATTTTGAGTACCTGTGTTAAAGTGAAAACTTAAACGATGTGAGAAAAATTCTGTTGCATTTTAATAAGTGCATGTTGGAACAGGTTGGTCCACTGATCACTGATCCAAAGTCATCTCTGTCTGTTTTCTCTCTTCCGTCCTGTGTGTTTCTTGGTGTCTTCTCCTTCCCTGAGTTGATGGGCTTCTTATCCCTTTCACTGGCTCCTGGTCTCAACCTGGGCCAAGTATTCATCTTATGACCTTTGTTTTGGTAAACTCCCCGGTTACTGTGCCCTCTCACAGGGCCATCTTGTGCCCTTCTCCCCTCGAGGCACTTTCTGCCTTCAGTTTCGTCCTAAGTGGGCGCCTTTCTCGGGGGTTTGTCTTGTCCTGGGATGCTCCTGGCCTCCCCAGCATGGGACGAGCAGGAGTGGGGAGGGGACAGTCCAGCTTCCTGGGTGGCTGGGGAGCCCGTCATTAGGATTCCAGGTGACTGTCTTCTGCGGGGGCTCGTTTCCCCAGTCACCATGGCTTGATGGTCAGCCACTTGGATTTTTTGTAGGGACACCTCTTCTTCTGTCCTCCACGAGTCTCACAGGGAAGCTCCTCTGACCTGCCTGGCTCCTTCCTCCTCTCTGCACCTGCCACAGGTCCCCGTCTGGGTGGCTCGGCGGGGTGTGTCCCTCCCGAGGGAAGCCCTTCCCCCCAGGGTGGGCCTGGGTCAGCCGGCGCCTGGTGGCAGCGTCCCAGCTGAGCTGTGCTCTCATGCATACCTCGCTTCCCACCCAGGGATGATGTGGTCTGAGTGTAAGGAGCTGTGGCTGGAAGGGCCCAGGGAGTACATCCTGCAGCTGTGGAATGTGCTCGACTTTGGGATGCTCTCCATCTTCATCGCCGCCTTCACGGCCAGGTTCCTGGCTTTCCTTCAGGCAACAAAAGCACAGCAGTACGTGGACAGCTATGTCCAAGAGAGTGACCTCAGCGAAGTGACGCTGCCGCCCGAGATACAGTACTTCACCTACGGTGAGTGGCTCGCTGCTGGAGGAAATGCCAATCAGGAGTACGGTACCCCCCTCCATCCAAGGCGGGTATGTCCCAAGGCCCCCAGTGGGTTCCTGAAACTGCTCAGGTCTATATATATATATATATTGTTTCTTCCCACACATAAATATGTACATATGGTAGATTTAATAAGTAAGTTAGGCACAATGAGATTAATGACAGTCATAATAAAATGGAAGAATTATAATAATATATGATAATACAGTTGCTAGGATCGCTTCTCTTTCTTTGGGCATATTATTAAATAAAATGAGGGTTTCTTGAACAATGAACACTGCAATACAGTGACAGTGGGTCTGATCACCTAGATGGCTCCTAAGTCACTGATGGGCAGGTAGCTTATACCACACGGACACACTGGTATTCATGTCCTACGGAAGACAGAATTGGTCTGCACAGATTGAGCGTGCTGCTCAGAATGCTGTGCCATATAACACTCAAACATGGTTTATTTGTGGAAACTTCCACTTAAAATTTTCAGATCACAGTTGACCATGAGTAACTGAAACCACATAAGCCCCCCCTTAAATAATGGACCACTACCATGTGTTAGTGTGAAAGGTGTGTTGCACATTTGTGCACAGTGCACACAGCATGAGTGCACACAGTGCACACATCCATGGAGTCTATGAAGCCAGATCCTCAGGGCCCAGAGTCCCTGAGGCTGTGGGTTCAATAGACAATGGAAGTCTAAACTGCTTTAAGAGCAACGTGAAAAAGACGTAAGCTGAGGTGCCGGGGCGCTGAGGCCAAGAGAACTGCAGCTGCGGAGACAGCAGACACACGTGGCACAGAGTGGGGCTCTTGCCGGACTTCTCTGTCACCAAGAGCAGGGGCCCCTGTGGACATCCAGGTGAAAGGTGGCGGATGCCCTCTTGCCCAGCACAGACCTGTCAGGTGCTGTTTGCTCCCTTCCCTGAGCTGCGGTGGCGATTTTCACCTATGTGTATAAATCTAAGCCCTGCAGAGCCGGAAGCTCAGGCGTGGAGCGTGTGTTCTGCTTGGAGGATGACTGTAGAGGCAGTCAGGGTTCCCTGGGGGGCGAGTCCAGGTTGGAAGGCTGGGCTCCTGCTCTCACGTGCGAGGTCTTGCAAGGTGTGGAACTGAAGCATGGTGTCTCCTACTGTCAGCAAGGATTTTCACCCAGCAAGGACACTGGTTCAAACGAGCCAAGGATCACCATTTGCACTTAACAATTAGTCTTTATTTGTGTGTTATCTATGTCTTGACTGTTTCCATAACTTATGTGTCTTGAGTTTATCTGTGTCTATTTAATGGCTGTTGTCTCAAGGGGACTTTGTGACTGCTGGCGTTCCCACCTCCTGGACAAGTGATTCTGATCATGGTTTTGACTTTCCAAGTCTTGGCTTCTGCATCTCCAAGAGGTCAGCATTTGCCACATGCTCACGGGGCAGCACGTGACAGTGACGTGCTGGGAGTGTTCAGTGAATGTTAACGTTTCTTATTGCAATGTCCACAGTGTGTCCATGCTTTTGGAAATGACCCAGTTCACACAAAATCAACCACACAGCTCTTCACTGACCTGCCGGGGAAATGGATCTACTGCAGACTCAGTAACCTGGAAGGGCTCATTAGGCTCTTGTTGTGAATCTGCATCCCCAATCTTTACCCTTCCTGGCCCTTTACGTCCTCTAGAAACAAGTCAGCTTGCTTGGCCGTCACCTGGCAGCACTACTGTGGCCCAGTGACACTCTCCCTCAATGCTGTCTGAGATTTCACTTGCATAAACTGATAGACGAACTAATTTCCCACCAAACGTGGGAAAGAAGTTTAACTTTGGGCTGGGACAATAGCTCAGTGGCAGAGTGCTTGCCTTGCACAGGTGAGGCACTGGGTTCGAGCCTCAGCACCACATAAAAATAAGTAAAATAAAGATATTGTGTCCATCTACAACTAAAGATATTTTTAAAACAGTTTTACTCCAGCTATGCCCATTGGACACCAGAAGAGCTGGTTAATAAGTCTAACGATGAGGGGACAGGCCGGTGGGTTGTTGCGTCATCCTGGACACGTCGGTGTCTGTGAAGTGCTCTAACCTCTTTATCTCTTATTCTTTTTCGGATCCATGTGCTGTCAGTTTAGTGTCTTTACACTGGTCTTTTCTCCACTGAAAGTAATATAGAAATTTTGTTTCTTGATTAACGTAAGAATGGCACTGGACAGTTAACTAAATGGCCGAGAGCAGAGCCAGCTACCTACAGGACAGACCCTACTGGTGCGCTCCATTGTTCATCTCTCTCTCTTTTCTAGCTAGAGATAAATGGCTGCCTTCTGACCCGCAGATCATCTCCGAAGGCCTGTATGCCATTGCTGTTGTGCTCAGCTTCTCTCGCATCGCCTACATCCTCCCTGCCAACGAGAGCTTCGGCCCCTTGCAGATCTCTCTTGGAAGGACGGTGAAGGACATATTCAAGTTCATGGTCCTCTTCATCATGGTGTTTCTGGCCTTCATGATCGGCATGTTCATACTGTACTCTTACTACCTGGGGGCCAAAGTCAACGCTGCTTTCACCACGTAAGTCGAGCATGAAGAGGACTTCCAGCAGGTCTAGACGAAGCAGAAGAGAAATTTCAATTACCGTAGTGAAGGTGTTTTTAAGAGCAGAAAAAAATCCATGGAAAACAGTCAGTTCCTGCGTGTGATTATGTTGCTCCACAGCTTCATCTCTTTTACCTTAGTGACATTTGGCCACAGAATCAATCGGGATTCGGAAAAAATCCTGGACAAAATCTGCTATTTTAAGAGAATGGAGTATGGGATTGCTAATCCTGGATGTCTCTTTCATTATGCGTAACGTTAGATTTAGGCCTGTCCCTTTGTAGCTAGTACTACTCTTCTGAAACAGAAGCACTGGTTTGTTTCAATGAGTCCTTGACAGTGCAGGGAGGAGGGTGAGAGGAAAGGGCGTGTCCTGGGGCCCACTGGAGTGGTGAGGCCACTTCCTGCCCAGGGTCACACTGGTTCCTGCACTGTGACTGTCTCCCCGGGAGCCGTCCTTGACCCTGCTGAGTCTCACTACCCCTGTGGGCCTCGGGTGGAGGTACCCAGACTGTGGGACCTTCTCGCCCCTGGGTGTTTGGTTGTCACGGCGATGGCCTCCCCTGTATCTTGGTCCCTGTCGTGAGGAGATCATGCTCCCTCCTGCCTTTCCTTGGTGCCCTGTGAAGCCACAGCTGGGAACCAGCTTCACTCTTGTTCAGCAAGTTCCCCGTAGACGAAAATAGCATACCAAGGCCTTGCGGACATCTGAATGGTTCTGAACTAGTGTTCCCCATAGTTAACAGAGAGCAGTCAGAAGGTGAGAGAGACTGAAATTCACTTTATTGTAATAAAGAAAAAAATCAGCTTGAACCTGCTGGGGAAAGCACAGAGGTACACAACACCACCCCTTTCCCTTTCCCTCCCCCTCTTTAAATACTATTCCCATTAATTGTTTTCCGGAAGAAGAACTTGCTTTAGAACCTTTCTTTGTAATGGAATTTTACATAACTGTTCAAGGATGATTTATTTAGTCCTCGGATCAGGGATCACAAGTCAGTCACATGTTAAAAACAGCCATGTGCGTTTTGCCAAAGTGGCTGAGGAATGCCAGCGGGGGACTGGTGTGGGGGAGCCGGGTGCTGGTTGTCCTGAAGGAGGAATCGGGAAGTCCTGTGATCAGGGGAGACACGCGGCCCCCTGGTTCCGCTGCCCCGCTTCATGTCCAGCGAAGGGTGGCTTCTGGGCAGGTGACGCTGTTGGCTCTCAGGATCTGTGGGCTCCTTGTAAGTTCAGCGAGCCCTGGGTCACACATGGCCTGGCAACACCATGTCCTTGCTGAACCCACAAGCTGTTTTTCCTTGTCCCTGTGCCCTACACGGCACAGGAGAACAACTGTTGCAACAACGGCATTGCTGTATCACCATATCAAGTATTGTAAGTCACCTGGAGATGGTCTAAAGCATGCAGGAGAGGTGCGTAGGTTATATGTAAACACTAAGCCTTCTTTAAGGGACTGAGCACCCACAGACGTCCATATTCCCAGGGAGTTCTAGAACCCAGCCCCAACAGATACCCAGCGGTGACTGACTATATGTTCTTGTGACAAAAGATTCAGAGAGGTATCTACGATGACAGGCTGGTCCCCCCCCACCCTTGGCCCCCAGTCTGCTAGTTCTCCCTAGTTCCAGAAATGCCCGTGTCTTTGGGACACTTTGAGATTTTTTTTTTCATAAAGTAGAATGTAAATATCTGTGTTCCCCTTGTCACTCAATGATAGAGGTTTTCACCGTGGCTGTCTTGTTTCTTACTTAACCCTCCTCTGGCATCGCTGATGTGAACACCTGGAGACAGGTCTGTCCCACTTCCCCCCGTGGTTGCATGGCCTTCCGGGTTTGGATGCTCCAGAATCATTCAGCCTATTCCTTGCATATCTAGCTTGCTTTTATTCTAAAAGCAAATCATTTCATAGCAAATGATGCAGCAAGGAATATGTTCATACACTTTTTTAAAGTAGATTCATAATTTTAATTTCTGTTCTACTCCAGGAAAACTGACTCAAATACCTAAACCGTCTACCAAATCAAACTTCAAACTCTCATCCTCCCAGGAGAAAGGAATGGGCATTGTAATATGGCTTCAGCTTTCTCCTGCTGAGCACAGACAACTTTCCCTGGAAGGTCCTTCAGAAAAGCTCCGTTGGCCATTTAATCACCAGTCCTGAAAACCTGAGAGGGGGATTTCCATTAACTATCTTCAGATTGTTAGAAGTAGTTGCTAATGTTTGTTCTGATTGCATTTTACATCTGTATGGTGTTCAGCCCTAACTTGTCTTTACTCCTGAATAATTAATGCTTAGAATCGTTAATTAATTACTGTGTGTCTTTTTTCTCCACAGTGTAGAAGAAAGTTTCAAGACTTTGTTTTGGTCGATATTTGGGTTGTCTGAAGTGACTTCCGTTGTGCTCAAATACGACCACAAATTCATAGAGAATATTGGATATGTCCTTTACGGGATATACAATGTAACTATGGTGGTGGTTCTACTCAACATGCTCATTGCTATGATCAATAGCTCCTATCAAGAAATTGAGGTAAGCCCACTGTGTCCCCAGCATCTGCCCTTCCCATCCCACTCTGACGGTATGCGGCATCTGTTTCAGTGCCTTGTGGTCACAAAGAGGCTCCTATCCGTGCAGAGAGCCTGCTCTCAGCTGTGTCTCCCCCGAGCAGGTAGTCACACCGGTCCAGTTCTTCTAGGAGCCCAGATTCTAGGAGGTCCCTCCCACTCCACCTCTCTCAGGGTGTCTCAGAAGTCTTGAAACCACTGACCACGTGCACTGCCATAGGGAGACACATTTTGTCTCCTGGGTTAGCCAGTCAGTGTCCTTCCTGGTGGAAGAATTGCTAGATGCCTGCAAACACAGATGGCAGACTTTCTCTGGTCAGAATTTCTAGTATCTGGAAACTGCTCTGCCTCGGATCTCTGGTTGGGCTTGGGGTGGTAGCATCTTCTTCACTGAATGTACTTTCCTCCATCCCCCAGTTTTGTGATCAGTATCTTCCTAGTGCCTAGCTGTTTCTCAGCTCTACCAAAGCTCCAAGTGTGTTTAGAGCCTCGTGATATAGTGTCCCCAACGCAGAGGTTAGCTCCTCCAGAAGTGAAAACTCAGAGCGCTGAACACCTACCTATGTGGGTGCGTTCGTGCCTGTCTGGGCTGTGTGACCTGAGCGACCCAGCCTCCTCCACCTGGGCCCCCTCTTCCTTTCCCCTATTGGAATGGTCATGCCCATCACCATGGGGTGGCCCTGGGGAGAGGAGTAGATGGAGACTGGTCCAGGCTCCTGGGGAACTACATGACATTTGAGGGCATGTGACAGAAACATAATCTCCCAAAATCTGTTGTTCTAAATTCTCATTTTCCTTTTGCCCTTGGAGTATAATATGTCACGCGTATAACCTGACTTGAGTGGGTGTGGGGAGGGGAGAGTGAGGTAGAGAGCAAAGAACTAACTTTGAACATGTAGAATTGGTGGGGCGAAGAATGTGGGGAGGGAGTTAACACTTTTGTCCTTTCTTGCCTCCAATTTTTCTAATCTTTTTGTCTTATCTTGTGAGGAATAGGAAATTCTGGTTATATTTTATTGGATATAGACAAAGGAATATGGAAAATAAAAAGTTTAAATGGTGTCATAGAAGTGATCCTCAGTTTATCCCATAGCATATAGAGATCATATGCAGAAAATTATGTATAAGTTCCTTACCTATTTAAAAAATCATTTATATTCATTGCTAGAATTTACATTGTTACTGGAATATTTAGTTTAAAAATTTAGTAGCTAATTTCAAATCAGTAATTTCTATTTTGCAACACAGGATGACAGTGACGTAGAATGGAAATTTGCTCGTTCCAAACTTTGGCTCTCCTATTTTGATGATGGGAAAACCTTGCCCCCACCCTTCAGCCTGGTTCCTAGTCCAAAATCATTTGTGTATCTCATCATGCGGATCATCAACTTCTCCAAATGTAGAAGGAGAAGGCTACAGAAGGATCCAGAAATGGGAATGGGTAACTCAAAGTCCAGGGTAGGTGTCGACAACTTACCAAGACCTTAAAATCCATGTTTTGTCTCTTTCTCCTTGTCTTTCGATGTGTAATTCTTATGTGTGGTGCAATGATTTTTATGTGTGAACCTAGAAGACCTTGAAAGTGGCCGTGCATCCCACCAGCTGCCATAGACAAGGGCTTGATGTCTGCATAATGTTTCAAGAGCCACTTGTCTATGCCCTGGGCGGTCAGAACTTCCTGGGAACCACCAGATTAAAAACAGACAAGACTCCCTTGAACTGTTAAACGTAAACAGAAACCTTGTTGTTAGGAAGCACTTTGTTTTGGTGTGTTCCATGTTCTCCGCTGTGATTCTGAAGTTAAATAATTTTAGCCTCAGATCATCCTCTTCCTGTTCATAGACTGAGCATGGCTAGACTGGGCTAAGTAACTTTTTTTCCTTTAGTATCATAAAACCGAGAGTTATTTGAGAGCTCCTCAAATAACTCCAAGCGCCCCTTTTATAATAGCAAGAATGGTCTGCCCCTACATTGTCCCAGTTGAGTCAGACTTTAATTTTAACAAACGTTTCATGATGGCACTTTATGAGCGTGAATTTAATTTTCAAAGATAAGCTTGGTATAGGAGACAGAAAAATACGGGAAAAATTCAAATAACAGTGAAGGAGGAAGATAGGAGAAAATGTACAGGCTTAATATACAATTTTTGTCTAAAATTGTGAAAATGGCCTGTAGCTGTAGCAATCTAGAAGCCCACAGGATTTTAGGTTAATTCTCTAAAATACAGGCCTTCCTGAGCAGAGGTGGGTACTTTTTCTCAGTTGAAGCTGGGGAAAAGAGGATTAATGCAATTTAATTTCTCGCTTTTTAAGATAGAGGTGAGTTTGCAAGATTTGTTACAACCCTAGAATCTTATTCTTTAAGAATGCAATCTTTTAATCCTCTCTGACCTGCATGTGAGCTCTGACAGCTGTTAGGTTGCAAGGGAATGAGAGTTATGGCAGGCCAAGATTTAAAACAGAACCTCGTAAGCACACAGCGAGAAGCATTACAGTGCAAGGAAGACAGCCCTGCTGCTGGACTTGGGCTTGAATCTTGGCTCTTAGGAGTCAGAACAGGTCAAACCACGTGGCCACTTGAGCTTTAATCGCTTCCCCTGAAAGAGGAAGCTTCTGGAGGGTTGTGGTGAGGACTATGAGATGTGCAAAGTTCCAGCCTCGACATATATCAGGGCCCTTCCCCATTCACAGTTTACAAAGTGCTTTGCAGTACGTCTGAACCTCAGTTAGTGCTGCAAGGTGGGTATCCGTTATTCCATTTTATAAATAAGACAACTACGCTCTTCAAATTCCTCCCCTACAACTGGGCTGGCCGTGCAGGCAGGCCTGGGGTCCAGCTCTCTGTTGCACCTGGCTGCCTCTGTGCTCAGCAGCCCAGTCCAGGCTGTGGCCTCCCCTCTCCCTCCCTGAGCTGTACTTCAGCTGTGGGGCAGCAGGTCTCCTAAAGGGGCCGGGTTGGAACTGTCGTCCTGGGTGGCTCCTGCTGCAACTGCTGAAACTGACTTTGCTTTGAAAAACTGAAGTATATAAAAGGAGTGTCTCAGGTGCAGAGTTTGCAACCCTAGCACCTCGTAGAACACACCTTAGTTTATTCTTTCTTTCTGTAGGCAGCTGAGTCCACCGACCTCTTTCCTGACCCTGTCCTAAAGTAGAAAGGGGAACTCAGGTTGAGAAGAGCACACCCAAGGCCGTGGCTGCCTGGACCCCTCTAGAGGAAATTAGCTTCTCCCAGGAGTGAGGGGAGCCTTTATGTAGGATGTCCACTGAGGGTGTCCCCTTAGGTCACCTGCTCCAGCCTGTGTGTGCCACGGGCGGGAAAGGTGCTGGTGGCAGAAGATGGGCTGGCCTCTCATCTCTGGGGAGGCAAGACCCTCCGCTTCCTAGGCCTCCCACATCTGGCTTAAGTGGTCGTTGTGATTCTAAGTTGCACATAGGCCTGTTCAGACGCTTTCACCTTCTGCACAGTCACAGACCCCCGGGTATGCTGAACTTAGTAAAAATTTGGAGAATTCCATTTCCTGTTGTTCTTTTTGGACGAGGGAGGCCCTGGAGCAGCCTTTCCGGCTCACCTGTCTGGCTGACCTTGGTTGGTAGGCAGACACTGACCTCCAGTGTCCAACAGGAGAATTAACTCCGCTAGATGAGGTTTTCCCCTGGCACTGCAGACCTACAGGAAGGGTCCGCAACACCTCCACTCCCCCGCATCCCTCACCTCCCGCATTGAGATGGTGGTTCTCGGGTCCTGGGGCATATATGCCTTTTTGGACGGGGGGGGGGGGGTGGGCTGCTTTTGAACCACACCTACCAGGGGGCAGTGTGCCCATGAGTAATAGGTCACACGGGAGTGGATGTGCCTCTGTGCCCCTCCTGCTCTCATTCCTGCCCAAAGTCTAGACCTTAAGAAGAGAAGCAGTGGAGGGAAAGAAAACCAAGATTCTTTAGCCCAATTCTCTCCCAAGTGTGATCCCAGCTCTTGTACGGCCCTGAGAAGATGCATTACTGTGACTTCTATTTTAAGGCTATGGGATCCCACAGTGCTACACAGTAGCGTGCCCTGTGCAGGCCCAGCAGCCGACTGAACTGCTTCCCTGGAACTGCGCTTCCAGGAGCCAAATGCACATCTTGATCAAGACCAGGTCCCAGGGAAAATTGTGCCCAGTAGGAGCCAACTTTTAAAAAACGTGTTCTCAACCAGCAGTTCTGCTCCGCCCATCTTGCCAACACTTGGACCAGTGTGAGCACGCGTCCCCCCTTAGAGCTTGCCTTTGGAATTAGATGAAGTCACGTAGAAAACTCACCCTCCACAAGGTGTTCCTCAGAAATGTTACCAAGGAGAATAGGAGAGACTGTACTTCTGATTCCAAATGAATGTATTCTAATTTACTAGGTTAATTGTATTTTTTCCTAGTTAAACCTCTTCACTCAGTCTAACTCAAGAGTTTTTGAATCACACAGTTTTAACAGCATTCTCAACCAGCCAACACGTTATCAGGTAAGAACTCCTTAGACATCTCTCTTTATCTGTGTGTGATTCTGTGTGTCTGTGTGTGTGTGTGTGCATAGCGAGTGGCGCTATGAGACGGGAACAGAGAAGATGAGAAAAGAACACTAGTTGGAGGGGACTTTAGAAATCAGTCCAACTGCTCCTCCCCCTTCCCCTCCCTCTCCCCCTCCTTCTCCCCGTCCCCTTTTTTTGGCTGAGAAAGAAGAGTTCTTTTCTCAATATTGAAAGCAAAATGTTGCTATAATTTCCAAAGCATGTCGCATAAGCCTTGAACTGGACAAAGAAATGGGAGTTATGGTGTATTAGATAAATACCTCTCTCGCAGTTTGAAAACCAGACTGTTTCTCCAGGCTTTTCCCCAGGGCAACCCATCTTCCAAGTGACTGTGGTCAGGCTGTGCTCTTTCAATGGCACTGCTTTAAAATACCTACAGACGCAGGCCTGTAATCCCAGCAGCTCAGGAGTCTGAGGCAGGAGGAGCGTGACTTCAAGGACAGCCTCAGCAACTTAGCGAGGCCCTAAAGCAACTGAGTGAGACCCTGTCTCTAAATAAAAATAAAAGGGGTTGGGGGTGTGGCTCAATAGTTAATCACCCCTGAGTTCCATCTCCAGTACCAAAATAAATAAACAAACAAACAAATACAACACCCTTTGCATTTGCTGTTGGCTGTGACCCTTGAATTCTGTTCCTCAGCTGGCCTCATTTTGAGTCTTTAGATTCTGGTGTGCGCGGGTGTCTTGAGGACCAAGGAAGTGATGGTGTCAGGTGATGCTGGGAGAGTGACACACCCACCTTCACACAGCTTTCCTGGAGGAGGGGACTCTGCAGAACTGATTGGCTCACTGATTACCAAAGCCATTCTTTGGATGGTTACATTAGTCCCATATGGTGTGCTTGTTTATCCCATCCAGCTCCTACTGAGAGAGAGGGCATTGCCAGTGTTTAACAGTTATAAGTAATACCGCCATAAACAACCTCGTGTACTTGACATTTCAAACGTGCAAATGTGTAGAATTTTCTGGTTAAGTATCTGTGTATTTAAATTTCTTAGTCATTATCAAGCTGATTTTGATGGAGCTTGTAACATTTACACTTATAATACACGTATGAGAGTATCTGTTTCCTTCCTAAATCAAACAGTGTTTTGCGAGGGCTTTGGGTCTTAGCCTATGAGAATGGCTTCTGTGCGTGAACTGGACCTTAACTTTGAATGAACTTGACCTTAATTTTATGTTTAGTGTTCTATATTCTTAGGACCCAATGTCTACCTGCTTTTCTTGATGGCTTTTGGTGTAAGTTAAGAGGAATTCTTAATATTTTAAGATATGAGCTGTTGTGTTATGAGTTGGGAAGTTTTTTTGCCAGTTTGTTGTGTATCGATATTCACAAATGTTACTTCTTATTTCCGCAGTCACCTTCCCAAGTCTATTAGGTCGGAGATTCGTGCAGTCTTTGAAAAGATCTTCTCCCATCTGAGATCACTTAATAAGCTTTCTACCCATCCATATTTCTTAAATTCTGTCATGTTTTATGTGAAAATATTCAACCATGTAGAATATATTTTAGCATAATATGTGGGGTGGGGATCCAAATTCATTTTTTCTTCCAGATGATTACATAGCTCAGTGTGTTTGAATAATATTTCTTTTATACTGATTTGAAATCCTGCTTTTATTGCTAAATTCTGGTATCTATTTGTATTTATTTCTAGTTTTTCCATTCTGTCTATTCATGCAATTTGACCGTATTATTTTAATTCTTGTAGTTTAAAACAAAATCAAACAAATGAACCCCCATTTTTTGCTATTCTTTCTTTTTCCTCCCCTCTCTCTTTCTTTCTCCCTGTCCTGTTTGAATTTTGGAGTTGATTTGTCTACTTTACAAACAGCCTGGTGGTATTTTTACTGAGATTAATGTTTACTTAAGGAGAATTGGCACTGTGTCGGGTACTGGGGGTTGAGCCTGGGTGCTCACCCCTGGGCCCCACCCCAGCCCTTTGTGCTCTGTTTGGAGACTCGATCTTGCAGGCTGCTGAGCCTGGTCTTGCTGCCTCAGCCTCCGAGTGGCTGGGATCACAGGTGTGGGCATTGCATACAGCAGGGACTGGCACCTTATGAAGTCCTCATTTCCTTTGAAGAACACGGTGACTTTCCACTGGTTTAGGTCTTCTTTGGTCTCTTTGGAGTCCTGTAAGTAGTTGTCTTTGTTCATATTAATTAGGATTAATGTGGTACCATTCACACAGAACCACCAAACACCAACCACTAAAGGGCTAAAAGAAAATGGACATTTAATTCTCTTTTCTTTTCAAGAATTTGGGGTGGGGGGTGGCTGGGGAGACAGCTCGGTGGTAAAGCACTTGCCTAGCATGCATGAGGCCCTGTGTTCAATCCCCATCATCACATTAAAAAAAATAACAACAACAACAACAACAAAAAGAATTCAGGAGGTGGTCATTCTTTTCTTCTATCTTCTTGGGTTCAATACCTGAGGTTTGCAAGTTAAACTGTCAAAAGGCAGACTAATAATAGTGAGAATAAAACACCCTGTGATGGGTAGCTAGGATTTAGAGCTTGCATATATCTTGCCAAGTGCAATAAATTTGTTGAGAAGTGAAAGATGAAGAAAATAGAGTTGGAGAATCTAATGGAAGACAGGGTTGTCTTCCCAAGGTTGGCTTGTGCAGACCCGTCTGTCCCCAGGCATGACAGATTTGAAATCCTGGCCTGGGAGAGAGGAGGGGGAATCTTTCTCAGAAGAAAATTTAAGTCCAGCTTTCAGGCAGATGGAGAGTGAAGTTGGGGGAGGGTAGGCGAGTGCCTGATGGTACTAAGCAGCAGTGAACAGAAGTTAGTGAACAAAAAAGAGTGAAAAGAGGCTCTGGCTCCCTTGGGGAGGAAGCTGTTCCATGCCCACGTCTATTCCTTCTCCCCATCTCAGTGGACGTCGGGAAGGAACCTGGTTTTGTTTGCAAGGAGAACCAGCAGGGTCTGCACCTTGCCACCCCTCAGTCTCAGCTTTGGGGATCTCTTTCCAGGCCTTCCACACCCGGGACAGAGAAAATTCATAGTCTACACATAAAGTCACAGTGTCCTCTGGAAATGGTGACTCATAAGTGTCCACAAGAAGTCCAGGTAACTCCTGGAGGTCTGAGGAGTGAGGAAGTTAATCAACAGGCTACTATAGTTAGTTAGTAATTGGACTGAAAGAGGCAAATCCAAAAAATCTGTTATTGGTCAATTTAATTTTGGGTATTGAAGGTAAAATTTTAAATGGCACTTCTACTTGTTATATGTGACTTTCCTGGTCGTTTGTAGCACTATGACTATTAAGACAAACAAGCAGCATTTGCTACACAGAAGCATAGATGACCATAAGAAACTCGGAGTCCCAGTAAGGGAGTCATTTCCTCGGGCTCTCTGCTGTACAAGATACACTGTAACATTCTCTCGGCACCAGGGTAGACACCTGTAAGTCACCACTCAGGTCTGGCAGCTCGCCTTCTTAGCTGTGGTTCAGAGGGTGAAGGGGGATCCCCTTCAGGAGCTGTTTCAACAGGGGGAGTCCCAGGGAGGGCCTCTGCAGCTGCCCCAGACAGGCGGCCTTCCTGAGAACTCACAGGAACCCTGCGCCGTGGACCAAGGGTTTCAGTTCAACACAAGGGGCGTTCTTGCCTCCTAGAGGAGCTGGGGCTTGGTGCACGGGGGTATTTAAGCTGGAAAAATCACAGTGGCGTTTCTGTGGGATGTGGGACCAGCTAAAAACACACCAGACATTGAAGGGGAAAGCTGTAGCCTATAGCAGGCAGAAGGTGACAGGTGACAAGGAGCTCGCCTTCCTTTCTTCCCCTCAGTGAGGGAAGTCGATGAGCTTTGTTCAGGCTATTTCTAGGGAACTTGAACCACATAGGAATTTAAAAAAAAAAAAAAACGTGTCCTAATTATTTAAACATGACAGTAGAATACATTTATCCACTTTGATGTATCATCCGTAAATGGAGTATGATCTCTCACTTTTCTGATGGTACATGTTGTAGAATCACATTGGTCATGCAGTCATGGATGTACATAGGAAATGATGTGTTTCCTTCTACTGCCTTTCCTACCCCACCCCCTCCCTTCCTCACTCCCTCCTACCTAAGCTAAGGTAACTCCGTCTCCCAGCCCCAGTGAGCTAGCATCCGCATATCAGAGAAAACCTTGGCCTTTGGTTTGGGGGGATTGACTTATGAGCTTAGCATGATATTCTCCAGCTCCATCCGTTTACCATAAACTTTCTATTTTCCTAACACTTTCCCTTCTGGCAGTGGGTGGAAGACGACGTAGACTTCCTACGTATAGTTTCAGAAAACTTGATGTAAGTATTTGAGAGAGTGTTGCATCTGGGAACGTGAGCGGCGACATCTTAGTCTTCATCCTAACTGTAGCTGACCTTCTCCAGCAGAACCTGTGCTTTTACGTGCATTGCATTGTTTCCTCTGCACAGATCCTTCTGGGCTGAGTTTTATTGCCCCGTTACAGAGATGAGGAAAGGAAGCTTAGAGATTCAGTGTCTTGAGCTCTGGGCTTGTAAATAAAGGCCTGTTTTCAAATTCAGAGACTCCTTGCTCCAAACACATTCTGCCTCCCCTTCATCTCAAGAGGTTTTACTTTTTGCAGAGGTAGGATTTACAAATAAAAGTTTTCTTAGTGGTTCATGCAGACCACCTACAGCCCTTCACTCCCAGCTCCTCTGAGCCTTCTGTGTCTACATGAAAACTGTCCACCAGGTCTGAAGGGCTCTGGCTGCTGAAGAGGCAGCGCGGCCGCCCGGGCTGGAGAGGCCCAGGAAATGCGAGGCAGCAACTATTTGTTCTAATGGTTGAAGAGTTTTTATTTTATTACATTTAAAATAGCTAATTATGGACTTTTTCATACACAGAAAAGGATCACGAGCATTCTCTTTCTGTCTGTGCTGCTGCCACCTTGACTTGACAAATGCTTTTGCCATATTCTAAGGCAGGCATGGTGACAGTGCCTGTGGTCCCAGCCACCCTGGAGGCTGGGGTGGGAGGACCACCTGAACACTTGAGTGGAGGCCAGCCCCAGTGGAAGAGCCATATCCCTGGCATAACAAAAGCACTCTGCCACACTCTTGGATAGATTTTGTAAGAAATTTTTGACACAACTGAAATCCCCTGCTCTATGGCATTAGCTGCCGCCCTCCCCAGACACCCTCGTTACCTGGAAGTCACGTGTGCGCTCTGCCCAGGCACACTTTTAGATGTCTATCACCTACATAAATACATCCATAACATTATGCACTAGGTTTTTTGCAATCTGTATGAGCATCACATACCCTTTTTCTTCACTTGTCTTCCTACTGTTGTCTGTATTGATACACATATATCACAGTTTTTATTCTAACTGCTGTGTAATGTTCCCCTACATGAAGAAACCACTTGTGTCTGTTCCTTCCTTCATTGAAGGACATTTAGCGAGCTGCTCTGCTCTGTTGTAAAGATGAGCTAAATCCACCTCACTCTTCTCTCAACTTAGATCCCTGATACGCTCACCTCCCTCAGGGAGTTGTTCTGGGTAGGTAAGAAGTCTTGCCAGAGTGGCGGCAGCCCTGTCTGACTCTGGCACAGAGCCTGGCCCGGGGCTGGCTCTCAGTGCACACTCGCCGACCAAGGGTGAGCGTGCCTGTGAGCCAACGGGAGCCAGGTCCAGCTCCCACACCCCCAGGGTGTTCGGCTTTGCTGTCACTGGTGAAGTGGGCGTAGCCCACAGCGTGGCTCTGCCCTGGTCTGTTGTGATTCTCTCAAGGAGGTGTTTGGAGGAACCAAGGTGACTTTGCATCAGAAGGTCCCTGATTTCCATCTCCCTGTGACTGAGTTTCAGTTCAGGCCTTTCCCCATTTCTTGTTACCTTGGAAGCGTGGTATTTGACACATGTAGCGATGCTGAGCTGCCAAGCATCACCGTGTGCATAATCAGAAACCCACTGTGTGCACACTCAGAAACCCACTGTGTGCCCACTCGGAAACCAACCAGGGATGTCATGGGTCCACTCTGTGCTCCTGTGCATCTCCGCCCTGCCCCGCCTCCACCCCGGGGCTACCACCATCCTGGAGTTTGGTTTTCTAATCCTCTTGCTTTAGTTTTCTTTGTAAATTATAGGCTTATTAAATATGCAGACAGTCCTAAAACATAGGTTTATTTCCTATTGGCTTCGTAACAACAGTCTCATGCTCCGTGATCTGCAGCTGGACTCTCCCTTCAACGTTGTGCTTCTCGGGTTCCTCCCGCTGCCGTGTGGGACTCACAGTGTGCTCCTGGGCACCGCAGTGAGCACCCACCGCAGTGAGCACCCCGTGACTGGCTTGTCTGTCTCCCGTTGCTGTTTGTTTCCCGTCACCCACGCTGGTCAGGCCAGGGCTGCGTCTGTTCTGCCTCTGGGTCCACCGTGCGGCTCCCTGGGCCCTTCCCGCTTTCTGCACGAAGGCGCGCCAGTGTCTGGCTTCAGAAGATGAGACCACATTGCTCTCAGAGTGGCTTGTCCAGGAAAGGGAGGGTCCTCGTTGATCCCCGTCTTTCCCAACACCTCTTGGCATTGCCAGATGTAATAACAAGAAAAGAGTGTGGATGCTCCGTGGGCCTGCTGGCGTCCATGTTCCCATTGCTGTGAGCGCCTGTCTGCCTTTGGCTCTTTTGAGTCTCCCTGTTGAGTCACAGCTTTTACACGTGTTTTTACATATTGGATACAAACTGTTTGTCAGTTACAAGTCCCGCCAGGATGTTCTCCGGCTCTGCGGCTTCGCCTGCCCTGTGCTCAGATCTAGAGATCTAGAGTCCTAAGGACACTTAACAATGTTTTCCATTACAGTGGGAAATTTTCATCTTTTTTGAAAGTCCAGTTCCACTTTGAAATAAATATTCCTCCTAGACTTTTTTAAAGGACTTGAAGGTTTTGTCTTTCACACTTAAGATGCACTAGAATTAATTTTTGTGTTCCGGGTATGAATGAAGACTCTAGTTTTTTTCAATGTGGACAAATAATTACCCTATAAGAACCCTTACTTAGAGTGGAAAATAACAGTGACATATATTGCTATGAGGGGAAAGCCTGGGATATAACATGATACCCAGGAAATGTAAAATTTCATACGTGCAATAATTATGAATATATAAAATTTAAAGAAAAGCTATTAGAAGGACATATGTGAAAATTACAACAGCGATTATCTTGGGATAGTGATATGATCAATGGTTTTGTTTATTTCTTTTGCTGTTCTCTGTATTTTCCAAATTCTTTGTATTGAGCCTGCAGTAACAGTGTGAATAAGGCAGTGTCTGTCTATGGGGATAATATAGTGTCAGTGCACCTGAAAGAGAAACCATTTCTTATTTGGAAGAGAAACCATGATTTGAAATCTTCCAACTCAGTGTTTTGTAAAGCTTCTTCCATTTCTGAGGCATAAAGACAAGTTTGTGGGTCACGCAGTGAAGTCTCAGACAGGTGCAAGGAGGGGGCGGTCTGAGGCCTGGGTACTGTGTCCCTAGTTCTGAGAACTTCTTCCAGGCATGGGAGGCCCCCCAGGAGCAGTGTCCAGGGCTGTGTGACCACTGACCACTTCTCCTTGCCCAACAGCAGATAATGAAGAGACTGATAAAGCGGTATGTCCTGAAAGCGCAAGTGGACAAGGAAAACGATGAGGTGAACGAAGGTAAGCCCCAAGGAGCCCGTCCTCCGAGATGGAGGCAAGGGAGCCTCCACAGCAGGGCGCGGCCGGGCTCCCCCAAGATCGACAGGACAGTCTCCCGTTGCCCCTCCAATATGCCACCTTCCAAGCGAACAGCATCTAGATGTTGTGCAGAGCAGTCTCCCCTCTTCAGGGTGCCCAAGATTCTTGGCCCCTGGAGATGGCCGTCCTCCTGACCCGGGGTCCTCCATGGTGTCTGCTCCATTTCCAGTGAGTTCACACGAGACTCGACATTTTCCAGTGATGCAGGCAGAGGAGCAATGGGGGCCCCTCAGATGGACCCCTCACTCTCCAGGAGGCCTCTGGCTTATCTGGAAACAAATCTCAAATCCATTTGCCTTGTCTGAAGTTTCTGTCGTGAACTTCACTTTGCCCGCTGGCTTCTTGCCTAAGCATGTCTCCTTCTCAGGGCACATCCTGGGTACAGCCTTAGAGCTGGAGGGTGGATCCAAAGCACAGGCCTAGAGTTGGAAAAGATAAACCTGGGGGAAAGTTTCCTGAAAACAGAAAGTGTCCCTTCCCCCCGAGACATGCATTGGATCTGTGGAGGCTGGTGAGAAAGGCTGGCCTTGGCATCGCTGGTGGGCGGTGGAGCCTTTACCTGATCCATCTGAGATCCCTGCCAATCGGAGCCAATCCAGTGGTCTATGTGTGCAGAAAAGAAATCTGTGAATATGCGACTGAGAACCAGCAACCTAGGGGTTGACCTAGACAGTGTCAGGGAGAAAGAAGTGGGATGGGTGTTTGGTTTGGAAGGCAGAAACCTGCTGGGTTGTGTCATGGCCACCCCTGGAAGACAGAACTGGAGCAAAGTGGGAGGAGCTTGACGGGCATAAGAGCTTCAGAAACAAGTAGCATTTATCAAGCGCTTGCCCAAAGGAGGAAAATCAATGAGACTGAGTTTTGGACAAAATTCTTATAAGAAAGTTGATAGCAGAGCTCATGCAGGGTATTAGATGAAGTAAGTTTTCAACTAATAAATGATAAACTAAATGCAGCACTGATGTGTAGTCTCTGCGTACAAGGAAGGGTAGGGTAGGAGCAAGAAGCAGGGCGGTCCACCATGGCACCCAGTGACATGAGGAAATTAACGTGGGCTGTAGATGTAGTTCAGGGTTAGAGCATGTGTTTAGCACGCACAAGGCCCTAGGTCTGATTCCCAGTACTACAGAAAAGCAAAAGCAAACAAAACACAAAAAGCACCAGAGTGCTCTTATTAAGTCCCTCGGAGACTGTCATCTTCAAGACATCCAGGTTTTAATTGCCATCTCCCTATGCTCAGAGCACCACCAGGCAGAATCAAGGCACAGCCTTGTTTGAATGCCGACATCCTCCTGTCCTCCCCAGAGAACAGAGTCTGCCCGTGGCCAGTGGCATGGTGTCGGAACCCCTCACCCCACCTCTGCCCCAAGCTTATTACCTTTGTCTGCCCCAATAAACAGCCCCTTCCGCCCATTCCTTTCCCCTTTCCACTCTGATTTATAATTGGCTTATTCATGGGAGCATTAGGCCCTTAGGTAGAGTGATTCTTTTTAGTGAAGGTCAGTTTTGCGTGGGTTCCCCTTGATGCTGGAAATGGGAGAGATGACCAAGGGGTGTGGACCTGAGGTCTGCGGGACAGAGGGAGGCGGGCAGATGAAGAGAGCAGCTCTGTAGTCAGTTAAGACCCTGCATTAAAAGCTGGGGTGGAGCTTGCTCAGCATGCAGAGGCCCAGGGTTGGATCCAGCACAATAAAACAAACAGAAAATGTTGGGTTTAGCCACAGGACAATGCTTGGGCTTCAGCCCTGCAGACATAGCTGGACTGTTTTTATAGCTTTGAGCAAAGGTCAGTGTGTTTGTGAAGACAGATATTTCTTAAACCTTGGGAGACTTTAGGAAGCAAATGTATTCAAGTCACATGAGTTTTATTTTGTTCTTTTCTAAATTCAAAGAGAATCACCAATTTTATATACATATATTTTAATACAAATACTTACAGGTGAATTAAAAGAAATCAAGCAAGACATCTCCAGCCTTCGGTATGAGCTTTTGGAGGACAAGAGCCAAGCGACCGAGGAGCTGGCCATTCTGATCCACAAACTCAGCGAGAAGCTGAGTCCCAGCGTGCTGAGGTGTGAATGACGGAGGCTGGAGCCTCGGGGTGCACTGCAGCACAGACGTGGCAATAACGCTTCTAAGTGTGAAATACTTGAAAAACTGGTGTACGTTTTTAGTAGCAACTACCTTTATTATGTGACTCTTCAAAGGTTAGGGTTAAGAATTTTGCTGTTTTATCACATGAAAACGCATTTCATTGTCTGCCTTGACATTACAAACGACAATATACCATTGTATTTAAAGGCCCAATATTACTACGTTACTGACAGTTTTGTCCATTTTAGAGTATACTCTGTTTTTGCACTACCTGTTTGCCTCCAAGAGATTGTAAACTCCTTGGAGACAGGACTATGTCTTATTCATCTTTGTGTCTCCAGCACCTAGTACAGTGCCTGGTACATAGTAGGTGCTCAATAAATGTTGAAGCCAAGTGAACTGAACTGCCAATAAAATACAAATAAAAATTCATCACTGTGTAGCATACCTTCCCATGTCCAACTGCTCAAGAGTTTGAATTTTTTAAAATAGAAATGGAAGAAATTTTATAATCAGCTATGACCTAGTGAGAACTATGACCTATTTTCTTAGAATTTTAGGCATTGCTGATAATCCCAGGACCAATGAGCCCTGAGTGAGAATTTAACAATGAGGTTGGTTAATAGAAGACACATTACAGATTTAAGTTTCATCGGATTGTCCCAAACAACACATTAAAGATTTTTCTAAAATAGATGACGTTTGCTTTCTGTTATGGACTCTGACTCATTGTTTGTGAGTAATGTGAATTTAGTCGATGGGAAGCGAGTTTTCTTCAAGTTTGGGGGCAGATGGGTTTGTTATTTGATGATGACCGTCTCATTTCTACATCCGATGCTTCGGTGCTAAATAAGATTCCAACACCTGACTTTGTGTCTTGCCCACTTGTTGCATTCCGGGCTTTGGCGGTCAGCTGATGGGAAGGGGTGGGAGCCTGCCTGGAAAGACAGTGCCAGGCACCACGCGGTGGCCTCCCGGGGGCAGCTCTGTTGTCATTGGCGTCTCCCATGATTGACGTCCTTTTCTTATGAAAGGACTTCAGTTCTTCCTACCTGACCTAGATTGTGATGGACCTTGCTGGACGTCCTGCACAGCTGAGCTGAATGCTGGTAATGTCCACCGTGCACGTGACTCTGATAGGAAAGGGGATGTCAGCCGTGGGCTCTGTGGTCTCTTCACAGACTGCAAAACACTCAGGATTTTTGTCACCAGCTGGTTTAAATCTTCAGCACCCTGAGTCTCCTCACCCGGATGCTCTCAAGCTTCTCAGGGACACCAGTTGTGATCACAGCTCAGAGAGTTTGACACCTGATGCTCTCCTCATCCCTGTCACCCAGGAGGGCTGTCTAGAGACCAAGTCAGCATTCGGGGCTGGGGTGTGACTCAGTGGTACAGTGCTTGCCTGGCATGCAGGAGGCCCTGGGTTCAGCACCTAGCACTGCCAAAAAATAAATAAATAAATGAGACCACATAAAGCTCTTTAAAGACTGCTTCTCTGCTTCATAATTTCTATGTGGGGGAGTTAAGAAAAGGACCTTGTATATTTTTGCTACCTTTGTAGACTATTTCATTAACTTTTGTTTTATGCTAATAGCATAATAGTATTTGTATGCTATTAATATTTTATGCTAATAGTACTTGTCTTAAACATTTTTCCATTTTAGAATAAAAATTTTAAAAAGTAAAAAAATTTGAAAATATTTTCAAAATTTTTTTTTAAAGGGAGAGAGAGAGAGAGGGAATTTTTTTTAGTATTTTTTTTTTAGTTATCGGCAGACACAACATCTTTGTTTGTATGTGGTGCTGAGGATCAAACCCGGGCTGCACGCATGCCAGGCGAGCACGCTACCACTTGAGCCACATCCCCAGCCCTATTTTCAAATTTTATGTATTTTATGTCACTCCTCAGAACTGAATGAAATAGTGGATTTTTCCATTGCTGTATGTTACCGTGAATTAAAGCAGCAGTGATATGTAGTTTCTACAAGAGATACTTCAGTGTTTCCGTATTGTCTAGGATCCCAAGGTGGAGGCTTTGCTTATGGCGTACTCAGTTGTGTTCCTAACTGAGCTTTGAAAAAAAGCTGAATGAGGGGCTGAGGATGGGGCTCAAGTAGTAGCGTGCTCGCCTGGCATGTCTGGGGCGCTGGGTTCGATCCTCAGCACCACATAAAAATAAAATTAAGATGTTGTGTCCACCGAAAACTAAAAATAAATATTAAAAAAAAGAAAAGAAAAAAAAGCTGAATGAAGAAGTGTCAGATTCAGCTGGGACTTGGCCCTTGGGATCTGGAGATCAGAAGTTTGAGGACAAAACCCAGGCCGTCCACACCTTGTGCACATAGTCTGTGGGTTCTCCTTCCTTCCTTCCCTCCCTCCTTCCTTTCGTTCTCTTTCTTTTGTTCTCTTTCTTTTTTGGCCCAGTCCTCCCATCACTCTAGGCTCCTAACATAGATTTGTGTGTGTGTGGTTTTCTATACTTGTATGAAGATGGTACAGCATTGTTTTAGATTTCATTTCTTCCCTTCCTCAAAGTTTTGAGATGTTAGTTGAGAAAGGAGAGGTGATGACGGGTGTAGTGGACACTGTGGGTGGCATTGGTGCCCCATCCTGGAGCCTGGGCCAGGACACCCCTGGGACCCCTCCACAGTCTCTGGGACCGCCTGACGGTGGCCAGGACTCTCCACAGATTCCAGAACTCCTTGACAGTTCTGAGGACGCTCCCAGGTCCTGGCTCATCACTGCCCAGCCCTCAGTCCTAGGAAGCAGCCCTGCCTGCTCCCTGTCCTCCCCACAGCCAAGGATTGCCTGGGGCAGGCCCCTTGGATGACAGTGGGGTGGCCTTCGGGTGGCCTTCTCCCTCCAGCAGAGCTCCTGGGTCAGGCTGGGGCAGGCCCACCCAGCACTTGTCCCCCCTGTGCCTTTCCTGGTCTTCACCTAGAGTGTTGCTATGTGTCCTGTGTCCAGTCTGGGGGGGTCTTCTTCAAGGGATTTTAGGATTTGCTTTTTCTAGTTCTGTGAAGAATGTTGCTGATATTTTAAGGGAATCACATTGGATCTACAGATCACTTTGGGTAATATGCACATTTTAACGATGTAAACCCATCTAGTTCTTGAACACGAGAGGTCTTCCCACTTTTTGTGTCTTTTCAGTTTCTCACATCAGTGTTTTCACCTCACTAATTCAGTTTAGTCACAGGAATTTTATTATTTTTGCAGCTATTATGAACAGAATTGTGTTCACAACTTCTTTTTCAGCAAGTTTATTATTGGTGTATAAAAATTCTTCTGATTTTTGTATGCTGATTTTGTACACTGCGACTTTACTGGATTCATTTGTTAGTTCTAAAAATCAGCTGGTGGAGTCTGGTTTTTGTGGATAGAATCCTATCACCTCCTGAGATCCTCCTCGGTGCCTTTCCTTTCTCTTCCTGATCGCTCTACTACTGCTTCCTGACAACCTGAGCAGGGTGCTGGGGGGGCCCATCCTTGCTTAGTTCCAGACCTTAGCAGAGAAGCTCTCAGCTTCTCTCCCTTCAGGGTGGTGTTGGCTGTGGGTTTCTCAGACGCGAACTTCATCTTGTTGAGTTGTTTATGTTCCTTCCCCACGTAATTTGTTCAGAGTTTTTTCATGAAGAGATGTTGGGTTTTATCAAATGCTTCCCTGCATCTATCAAATGATCATGATTTTTGTTCTTCATTCTGTTGATTACACGTATTACATTTATTTTATTGCATTGCACCCCTGGGGGTGGGAGGAACCACTTAAACATGGTAAATTGTGTGTGTGTGTGTGTGTGTGTGTGTGTGTGTGTGCGTGGGCGCGCTTTGATACTGGAAACTTCTCGTTCGTCTAAGGTTTCAGATGTGGGGCTCATGATGAGTCCTCATGCTCCTGATGACCTGACATTGTCTGTGGTTGTCAGTAGTGCTCGCCTCCATTTTCATCTCTGATTCTATTTATTTGTGTCTTCTCTCTTTGTGTTTTTCTTTGAAAAAAAACAAACAGTGATGACAAGGGAAGCCCCCAAACACAGCATGTGAATCAGCTCAAGAGGAAACATTTGTGACTCAGTTGCTAGGTGAACTTTTTTTTCATGGAAGGCTATTTTTAATTTAAATCATGATTATTCAGACTCGGATATTGGTGTACATTTTCTTGTGAATTTAGAAAAGGAACTTCTCAGTTCTAAGGAAACAACTGACATTTGTTGTCAATGCTTAAAATTCAAGCTTTGAAGAACTGGGGGAATTGTGTATTCACTGTTTCACAATATTCCAATGCTCCAAGATTTCTGATGAGATCCGTAGTGATAAATAGGATTTGGAGGGATTGTTATATAATGAAATTACATTTCATATTGGAACTAAGTTTCTTTTTCTTTTAACTAAATTTTCAAACACTACCACTTGTTGACTTTGCACCACATTTTCTTATGTACATAAACAAAAAAAACATACTAGCCAAAGCAATCCCTAGCAAGAAGAGTGAAGAAGGAGGCATCATAATACCAGACATTAAACTGCACTACAGAGCCACAGTAACAAAAATGGCAGGGGATTGGCACAAAAAACAGACACGTAGACCAATGGTACAGAAGAGAAGATACAGAGACAAACCCACATAAATACACTTATCTCATACTAGACAAAGGTGCCAAAAACATTCACTGGAGAAAAGATAGCCTATTCAATAAATGGCGCTGGGAAAATTGTAACAAAATGAAATCAAACCCCTGTCTCTCACCCTGCACAAAACTCAACTCAAGGTGGATCAAAGACTTAGGCACTAGACCACAGACCCTGCACCTAATAGAAGAAAAAGCAGGCCCAAATCTTCATCATGCCAGTTTAGGAACTGACTTCCTTAACTAGACTCCTAAAGTGCAAGAAGTAAAATCAAGAATCAATAAATGGGATGGATTTTTAAAAAGTTTCTGCTCAGCAAAGGAAACAATAATGTGAAGACAGAGCCTACAGAATGGGAGAAAATTGTTAACCACATGCACTTCAGATAGAACATTAATCTCCAGGATATATAAAGAACTCAAAAAAACTTAACATCAGCAAACCAAATAATTCAATCTGTAAATGGGCTAAGGAACTGTGTAGACACTTCACAGAAGAAGAAATAAACAAGTGGTCAATAAACATATGAAAAAATGTTCATCATCTCTAGAAATTAGAGAAGTGCAAATCAAAACTACTCTTAAGATTTCATCACACCCCAATCAGAACGGCAATTATCAAGAATATAAACAACAATAAATGTTGGTGAGAATGTGGAGGAAAAGGTACATTCATACATTGCTGGTGGGAATGCAAATTAGGGCAATCATTATGGAAAGCATTACAGTGATTCCTCAGAAAACTTGGCATGGAACCACCATTTGACCAGCTATCCCATTCCTCAATTTATACCCAAAGGACTTAAAATCAGCATATTACAGTGATGCAGCCACATCAATGTATATAGCTGATCAATTCACAATAGCTAAACTATGAAATGAATCTAGGTGCCCTTCAACAGATGAATGGATTTTTAAAATGTGATGTGTTTATATATATGATGGAACATTACTCAGGCTTAAAGAAAAAAGACATTATGGCATTTGCCAATAAGTAGTTGGAACTGGAGAATATCATGCTAAGCGAAATAAGTCAATGCCCCAAAACCAAAAGCCGAATGTTTTC